TATGCCCATAGAGCATCATCTAGTTTGGCACTCCAATCCTTTCTTGTCTTGCCTGTTGTCTTCTGAAGTATGCTCTTGAGTTCTCTGTTTGAGATCTCAACTTGTCCACTAGTTTGGGGGTGGTAAGGAGAGGCAACTTTGTGAGTAACTCCATGCTTCTTCAAAAGGTTGGCAAAGATTCTGTTGATGAAATGTGAACCTCCATCACTTATGACTATCCTAGGCACTCCAAACCTTGGAAAAATGATGGATTTAAACATCTTGATGACCACTTGTGCATCATTAGTAGGGCTGGCAATGGCTTCCACCCATTTGGAGACATAATCAACTGCCACTAGAATGTATTGGTCACCAAAAGAGGTTGGGAAGGGTCCCATAAAGTCAATGCCCCAAACATCAAAAACTTCAACTTCTAGTATAAAGTTCTGTGGCATCTCATTCCTCTTGCTTATATTTCCCATTCTTTGGCAAGCATCACATCTTGATATGAATGCATGAGCATCCTTAAACATAGTTGGCCACCAAAATCCAGCTTGTAGGACCTTGGATACTGTCTTGTAAGTGGCAAAGTGGCCTGCATAACTAGAACTATGACAAGCAAACAATATTCCTTCTACCTCTTCCTCTGGTATGCATCTTCTAAACATTCCATCTGAACATTTCTTGTATAAGTAAGGTTCATCCCAGTAGTACCTTCTTACATCACGCAGAAACTTCTTCTTTCTGTAGCCAAAGAAGTTTGGTGGTGGGTATTCAGCTGCAAGGAAGTTTGCTATGTGGCGAAACCATGGTGTGTTTGATGATGAGATCTTTGTTCCTGGCCTGTGATGGCCTAGTTGTCCATGCTTATTGCTAGCTTCAGCTGCATAAACTGTTTCTTCAGGTAGCCTATCATCAAGGGGTAGATTTTCTTCAACTCTCATCCTTGAAAGATGATCAGCTACTCCATTATCTGCTCCTCTTCTATCCTTGATCTCAAGATCAAATTCTTGCAATAGTAGTATCCATCTCAAGCAATCTTCTTGGCATCTTTCTTAGAGATACCTTAATGCTGCATGATCAGAATGAACTATAACTTTGATCCCACCAAGTATGATCGAAATTTCTCAAATGCAAAGACAATAGCAAGAAGCTCCTTTTCTGTTGTGGCATACTTGCATTGTGCCTCATCAAGTGTTCTGCTGGCATAGTAGATCACATGTAGCTTCTTGTCTTTTCTTTGTCCAAGCACTGCTCCTACTGCATAATCACTTGCATCACACATTATCTCAAAAGGTAGTTCCCAGTTTGGAGGTTGAACCACTGGCGCACTGACCAATGCATCTTTGATCTTAGTGAAAGCCTTGTGACACTCCTCTGTGAACTCAAAGTTAATATCCTTGCATAATAGGCGTGTTAGCGGCCTTGCTATCTGTGAGAAATCTTTAATGAACCTCCTGTAGAACCCAGCATGTCCTAGGAAGCTTCTGATATCTTTAACTGTCTTGGGCGGCTGAAGGTTTGTCATACTTCAATCTTGGCCTTGTCAACTTCTATGCCTCTCTCTGAGATTCTATGTCCAAGCACTATTCCATCTCTAACCATAAATGGCACTTCTCCCAATTTAGAACTAGGTGCTTGTCTTCACATCTCTGTAGCACTCTTCCAAGATTTCCCAAACATGATTCAAAGGAAGAACCATATACTGAGAAATCATCCATGAAAACCTCCATAATCTCTTCTATGAGATCTGTGAATATGGACATCATACACCTTTGGAATGTAGCTGGAGCATTGCACAATCCAAAAGGCATTCTCCTATAAGCATATGTGCCATAGGGACAAGTGAATGTAGTCTTCTCCTGATCATCTGGGTGGATTGGAATTTGGAAAAATCCTGAGTATCCATCCAAGAAACAGTAGTATTGATGATTGGCAAGGCGCTCAAGCATCTGATCTATGAATGGCAAGGGGTAGTGGTCCTTGCGCGTGGAGGAGTTCAGTTTCCTGTAGTCGACACACATTCTGTGTCCAGTGATTGTTCTTGTTGGAATGAGCTCATCATGTTCATTCTTGATGACTGTGATCCCTCCTTTCTTTGGCACGACATGTACAGGGCTGACCCATGCACTATCTGATATTGGATAATCACTCCAGCCTTTCAATAGCTTCATTATCTCCTTCTTGACAACTTCCTTTAGGTTTGGGTTTAGCCTCCTTTGGTGTTCAATTGAAGAACTAGACTCATCCTCCAGGATGATGCGATGTGTGCATAGTTCAGGTGAGATTCCTGTTAAATCATCCAAAGAGTAACCAAGAGCCTTTCTATGCTTTCTCAGTTCGCGAACAAGTAAAGCGGTCTCTTCTTTTGTTAGTGCAGCATTAACAATAACAGGATATGTTTCATTAGGACCAAGATATTCATACCTTAGACCAACTGGGAGTTGTTTGAGCTCGGCTTTTGGAGCTCTAAGTGGGCACCATGGGTCGAACTTAACTTTGGTTTGTGATATTTCCTGACCTTGTCAATGTCTGGCTCTTCCTCTTCTCTCTCTAAGTCCATATAAGCTATCAGCTCTTTATAAGCTTCCTTTGAATCCATGAACTTGACTAAGCATTGAGCTTCTCTTTCCATGTATCCATACTCATTCTCAGCCTTTGTCAAAGCTAGCTCCAAGGGATCAATAAGAAGGAGTTCATCCAGCACTTCTTCTCTTGTCTCTGCGAGCTCTCCAATCCAAAAAGCTTGACCATCTACAGTTGGTTTCTCCATAGACTTGTTTACCTCGAAATTCATCACTATATCTCCAAGATGCAAGTCAATCTTTCCATTCTTGACATCTATTATAGCTCCTGCAGTAGCTAGGAATGGCCTTCCCAAGATAAGAGGGTCTTTAGGTTGGTGTTCCAGCTCAAGAACTACAAAATCAGCAGGGATGTAGCAATCTCCAACCATGATTGGAACATCCATAATAACACCAACAGGGCGGCGAACAGATCTGTCTGCAAAGACTAGAGATATCTTTGTAGGTTTGAAGTCAGTGATGCCCAATAGCTTGGCCACTGAGTAAGGCATTAGGTTCACACTAGAACCCAAATCACAAAGTGCTCTATGGAAGTGTGTAGAACCGATCTTGCAAGACAAAACAAAACTCCTGGGTCGTTCAGCTTCTCTGGCATGCGATTCTGAAGTATGGCACTACACTCCTTTGTAATCATCATTGCTCCTTCTTCAAGACTCACATTGCTTGTGAGTATGGCCTTCATATACTTCCTGAGAGATGGAATTATTTGGCAGCATCAATGAAAGGTAACCTTACTGAAAGTTGGCTAACAAGATCCTTGAGCTTTGCTTGCTCCTTCTCCTTCTTGGGTTGAGAAAGAACATTTCTGTATGGGATCTTTGGCTCATACACTCTTGGTTCTTCAGGTGGCTTCTCCACTTCCTCCTGAGTTCCTGGTTCTATTCTGACATGGACTTCCTTAGGTGGTTCAGTCCCATCTCCAATAATGACATACTCCATTGGTTTCTTCTTGATTGGCGGCTTTGCTTCCTCTTGATCTGGGTATGCTGGTGGCTCATACCCTTTTCCATTCCTAAGAGTGATAGCTGCTACAGCTGCTCTCCTTGGATTGATTTCCACTTTTCCTGGTAGCATACCTTCTTCTCTCTTAATAGAGCTGGCTATGTTGGCAACTCTAAGATCCAAGTCTCTTGTGAAAGAAGAAATAGAATCCAACTTCTCATTCAATCTCGTGAAGGCTGACTCCAATCTCTCATCAATCAAGGCTGTGTGCTCTCTATGAGAACTCTTGATGAAAGTTATCAAATCTTCAAAGTTGCTCCTTGGCTCCATTCTTCTCTTGTGAGGTGGTTGCTGATAATTTCTTCCTCCATGAACATCCCTCTTCTCATTGGGTGATTCTTGAGTAAAAACATCATGCTCTCCTTTCCAAGCTTCTTCTCTATGTGCAATCCATCTATTCCAACAAAGTTTACTTCTTCTTGAAACTTGGAATCAAATCTCCAAAGTAGTCTTGAATTATTGTGGATTCAACTCTATAAGCTTCTCTTTGTCTCTCCACTTCTCTTCCTTGGTTTCTCAGTATCTCAGCCATCATGGCTTTGATCTCGCTGTATCCATCTCTGTATGGATCAGAATTTATGGCCTTCACTGCTCTCTCATGCCCAATGAAGTTGTCACTGTCGCTTGAGGCTAGATTTTCAATCAAAATCTTTGCTTCAGTAACTGTCTTGGTCATGAAATTTCCATTGCTGGCTGTATCAAGAGAAAATCGACACTTCCCACTTATTCCTCTGCCATAGAGATAATGTTTCTCTTGTATAGAAGCGCTCCAATGCTTCATGAAAAGGCTCCACCGGCCCTTGTTGGAAACTAGAGATCTTTTCTCTCAACAAGTTTGCTCTCTGCTTTGTGAAAAAGTGACCTAGGAATGCCACCTTGTACTCTTTCCATGTGGTTATGGATTGAGCTGGAAGAGACTTAACCCAGCGCAAAGCCTTCCCTGTCAAAGTGAAAGAGAATAGTTTGCACTTTAAGTACTCCTTTGGGCGCACCTCCTGCACTGATGGTGCCACAAATTTCTTCAAAAGCATCAATATGTTCCAAAGGATTCTCCTGGGGTTTTCCTTGGAACTGGTTTTGTTTCACCAAACCAATAATCTCCGGCGAAATCTCATAGCTTCTTCCTTCAGGAAGTGGCGGCTGGATGGGATTCCGATCGATTAGTAGTGTTGGATTGGAATCGAAGTCTCCCATGACTTCTTCATTGTGTCGCGCTCCATCTCTCGGCATCCATCATTGGCGCGATCGTGCGCGGCATTCGGATCCGGGCGGATCTTCGTGCTGCTCGGCCAGCGCGATCTCTCTCGCGGCCAAGTTATCTCTCTCCTCTTGATCGTCTGAATCACTCATGTTAGAGTCCTTCTTTCAAGCTTAGTACCTGAAAGGGGTAGAGGCAAGATTCTTTAAATAGAAAACAGTAAAAAGGAAAAACAAAAGTTGAAAATTTGCAAAAACAAAAAGGAAAAACGAAATTCTAGGCTAGACTATAGTTGGGAACTCGAAGGTAGCTGTATTGCTCCCCGGCAACGGCGCCAAAAACTTGATCGCGGGATCAGGTCTTCCCTTTTCCTATCCCTGATTCTGCAAGTGCACAGGTCAAAGTAGTAAACGGGTATCGAACACAAGGAGCAGATAAGTACACTTCGAGTATTGCAAGTCTAATATAGCTAGAAAACAAGTATGATTTAGGGTTTTGATTGTGTAACAAAGGAAATCAAACAGCAGATTAAACGGTTTATGAAAATCAATAAGGGAAACGCTAGGCAATGAGAAACTCGCAGAGATTCAAGGTTAACAAGATATTAGAAGGTTCGCTAGGGTTTGCGCTATCTAGAACTCAGGTCACGATTGTATGATCTTTCCACTGTCGAGGCTCCGACCCCTTTGTTAATCTACCTAGTCGCTAAACTTTTGGTATGTCCCTAGGTGATTAAATCAAGCAATAGTTCGTTCAAGACCCAATTGTTCACAACCCCGCATAGATCAACTTTCGCAGTCTATGAAGTTTTGCTCACCAAATACTTAGTTCAGGTTATATAGCAAGCTTTTGGAGAGTATATGAAACCTAAGATCTGATGCTAGTTGATCAGAAAAGCAAGCAGCAATGAATTCAAGCAGATGAAGATGCGATATAGAAAACCCTATGCGACTTCTAACAACCTATCAAACCATGAACTCTTTGATAGATCTCACAACCTAACTAGTGAATTACTCAGACATAATCAAAGCAAAACACAAAGAGATGAAGAAAACATGATTGCAATAAAACTCAAAGTATGAAATCGTGATACAAGGCGGCTCTCTTTCACAAGAGGCTAAAAAGCTATATATATAGTGCTAGGTCTTTTAGAGGCGGCTTAGGGTTAAGCCGGGCCTTGAAAATATGAAACGGGCTTCAAAACGGGCTTCGGGTCGACCGCGGCGTTGGGACGGTCGGTCGGGACGATCGGCCGGACAGATCGGGTCATGGGCCGAGATCGGAACGGTCGTGGCCGGACGGGATTCGCGGTCGGCCGCGTGGTCGGACGGTGAAGATTTGGCCGATGTTTCTCGGCCGGACGCGGGACGTAGTTTCCCGGCTCGGACGGCGCATCGGCCGTGGTACGCGAGACAGGTTGCGCGGCCGCGAGGCTTTTTCCCGGCTCGCGCGGCATGGTCGTGCGCGGCTGGCGTGACGGTTGTGGCGTGGCCGACCGCGGGCATGTTTCCCGGGTCGTGATGCGTGATCGGCCGACGGTTTGAACTTTGGCCGAGACTTCAGACGGACGGATGTGATTTGGCCGAGCGTGAACACGTTTCTCGGCCAGCCGGTCTGCGCGGTTGGGCGCTGATTCTCGATAGAGCCGTCTGGACAGTCTTCACTCTTTTGGTTGTAACTCCTTTTCTACTCATCCAAATGAGGCCATTCCAGTTGCGTTGGAAAGTTAACTCAATCAGAGCACGCAGGGAACTGGTCTTGATGAAATCCATTGAGTAGATCTTTTTCTGGGCCCTCTTAAAGTTGGTGCTTGTGCATGGAGCGGCTTGAAGTGCAAATCCTATGGTTTTGCTCCAAAATGCATCATTTCACCTGTTTAGACTCTAGACACTATAAACACAGTAAAACTACCTTTTTAGATAGAAAACCTGCCAAAAACCATTAGAAAACAATACTAAAACAGTATAAAAAGCATGTAAAATAGAGGTATATCAAATATTCAAAAGTAAAAGAAAAATAAAGAGAAATTCATTAAAATGAGATAGGGATAGAAAATGGAGATTTGTAAGTGTCCATTGCACTAAGTACCACTTGAGATGACTATGTGTGGCAGTGAGAAGAACTCTCTTCCTCATCTATGGGGTCATCGCCTTCTGAACCAAGCTCTGAGTCTAGTGAGAACTCACCAAGGTCAGGCTCATATGGCTCTCTAGCGGTGGAAGAAGGGCGAAAGAGTCTCTCCGGTGCAATGTGGCGAACTACGGAACTAGGCGTGAGATGAAGCGAGATTGGCATTCCACTATCTTCTCCAGCTTGTTAACACGGTCTAGAGCTTGGTGCGGCCATGCCAGTAGTGAGAACATGGCGTTCTTGGTGGCGGCGTTGAGTCTTGACTGCATGCTGAAGTGTGCGATATGTGAGCATGGGGAATGATGGTTTCTCACTTGATGGAACATAGAAGTCTTCCTCATTGGGCTGGAAAGTGACAACTCCTGAGCGTAGGCTTGGGATGTCTCATGTGGCAGCAAGACAAGGGAAGTGTTGGCTGGACCAATTGGAAACTCATAGCAAAACCGAGTTGGGTCTTTAGTCCAACGGTTTAGGAAGTGGATGTGCTGAAGGGCATGGAGATCCAAAGGGGTTGGCTTGGGTAGTGGCTCATAGTTGGGAATGTCAATCCCCACATGCACTATGGCCGTGATAAGCCTCCCAAAACGAACACAAAGCTTCTTGTTGCCTTCCAAGTCTTTAGCTAGCTTCCTCACATTGATGAATGTCTTGGCAAGTAAAAGCCAAGGTTGGCCTTGTACTCATGCTTGATGAATGGTGTGGTGAGGATGTAGAACTCATCAGTTGTGACCTTGTTGGCTTCTTGTTTGCATTGGAAAGTGGTGGAGATGAGGCGGTGCACATAGCGAATGGCTGGATGAGTGATTCTAGACACCTTTGATCTTGAAGGCAAGAATGGTTCATTGGCAAAGTGTGTCCAATCAGCAAAGGCAGCTTGTTTCCTCTTTGAGTTCTCCTTGAAGTCATGTGCTGTCTCATTGGGAAGTCCAAAGAGTTGGCATAGAGCTGAGATGGAGATGCGCCCATTGGCATCGCCTATCTTGAAGAGTAGGAGTCCATCACCAGCTGGTTGGTCTCCATTGTGGTTGGGAAAGGCAAGAGCTACTGTGGAGAGGAACTCCTTGGTGAGTTGTGAGTACTCACTACACTCTAGCTTGAAGAGCTTGCTCAAGCCTAGCTTCCTTATGTACCATGTGACATCATCTCTTATCTTGAGAAGGTCAAGGGTTTGGGTGTCCATCTTCACACAAGGTTCTCGATGTTCACCTTCTCCATTGCCTTCTTGCACTTTCTTGGGTCTTGGATTTGTTCTCCAACAAAGTTACAAGTGCCCAATCTTCTTCTCTTCTTGGACTCTCCACATGTTCTTGACTTGCATCAATGGAATGTGGTGAAGTTGGTGTTTCTGCTCTTGCATTGGAGCTACTACTCCCTAGCTTGATTTGCTTCTTTGGTGGTTCCATGAATGGGTTCTTCTTCTTCTTCATACTCTCATTTCCTTTTGTCTTTGCCATTGGGTACCTTGGCCGAGGCCGAACAATTGCTTCCCGGATCGACCGGCACGGTCGGTCCGTTCCGATACATAAATCCGGCCGAGCGCGGCCTGTTTCCTTCCTGGCCGTGTGTTCCGCGCAGACGGTTTTGTCGCGCGATAGAGCATCCGGCCGAGCGAGAGCCGTTGATCCTCCAGGTCTTTTCTCCTTTAGCTTGACTGTAAGGCTTGGCGCTCAGGAGAAGATGGAGAATAGAGGCATCTTTGATCCTCCAGGTCTTTTCTCCTTGCAATGAACATCTGGTGGGTGATTCACAGCTGGATAGACAATCTCTCCATGGATGTCCCTTGGCACAAATGCCTTAGGAAAAAGTTGCAGAGTTCTTGTAACTTTCTCCTTGAATCCTTCCAGATTCTCATCAATAAACTCCTTTGGGAATAGAAGCTTCATGTTGCGGTCAAACCTAGGCTCTCTCACCTTTCTTCTTGGCTTGGCCTCATCTTCAATCTTGGATGATCCCTTGGGAGGTTTGGGTGTAGGGGCCTTAGTCTTACTCCTTGCTTGTGTGGCAAGCTGCTTGGGCTTAGGAATGGGATCTTCCTTGATTGTATCTTCAGTTTCTCCTTCTTAGGGTGGCTTCAAAGTAACTTTCTCCTCTTGGACCATGTCAACGAAAGAGTTCTTTGTTGAACACATAGGGAAGAACATACCCTTGTTCACCTTGTTGAAAGAGATTCTTTGATTGGGGAAATCAAATATGGCACCCACAGTAGACAGGAAAGGGGTTCCAAATATGAGAGGTCTATGGCTACTCTCTCTCATTTCCACAATCTGAAAATCGGTGGGGATAGAGATTGCTCAAGAATGTTACCTTTGATGATACAAGGCACAACAAACTTTCCTGAGTTATCAGTCTTGGGATGATCTTTGGAAAGAGTCTCCTTTTTCTAGCTCGATTGGACTCTCTCTCTGGGTAAATCTCTTCAAGCCAAATCATGCAATCAACAGTAGGTTTTGAAAGCATCCATTCTGGAACTTGATCTTCAAATCTTTCTTCTATGGCGGCTGAGTTGCAAAAGGACTTCTTGGATTCAGCTTCCTGTCTCTTAACAGATTTCATAGTTTGGGTGACTTGAGTCTCTAGCTTCTTCACATGAGTGGCAACAACATCAGACTTGGTATTGAGATTGCTGAACAAAGCCGACGAGGAAGACGGAGTGCCGAACATGGTGGGGGAGATAGATCTCTGGAGAGAGTGAGAAAGCGAGAGAGAGAGGTAGAGAGAGGTTTTAGACAAAAGGCGCCATCCGGAAAACTTTAAAACGCAGCCCAAGTGTTCGACGGAATTCCCGGACTTCTTCTCTGAGTAGGGTTTTTCGCTTTTTGCTTTTTTTGCTTCTTCACCAACTAACACAGTTTTTTTTTTCTTTTTTTTTTGCTGCTGACCCCCACCCCCTATTAGCCTTCCCTCTATCTAGCTAGCCTTGGTCGGTTCTATTCGGATTGGGTCTTTTCGGTTGCTAAATTTTAGACCCGTTCAGGGTTTAGAAAAATTTCGATTTTGTTTCGGTTTGGTTCTTATCGGGTTCAGGGCTAAATTTTTATAGACTTGTTCGGGTTTTTGCACAATTATGTTCTTGTTCGGGCGGTTTTTATCGGTTTTCTTTATCCGAATACACGAAAACATGCAAGATAAAGGAAAAATATGTAAAATTACCGAAAAACTTATCTTTATTCTATTTTTACTTAAAAAAATTGGATTTTCCGAATCTTTTAGTTAGTTTAGAAAAAAAAAAAAAACTATTATCTACTACATTTAAATTATACTATGTTAATTATCTACTACGTTTAGATTCTAAGGCTACCTGTAAATGAACAAAATGAATGAGAAGGAATGGAATGAAGAGGAATAAAATATATGGAACTCATTCCTCCTCATATTTTATAAGGAATATTTTAACACTATAATTCCCTAATTAATATGGAATGGCAAGGAATAATATGGAATACACATTCTTTATAAATAGTGTAATTTTTAAGGAATGAAGTGGAATTGTCTTATTCCCCCTCATTCCTTGGTCACCAGTTACACCTAAAAGTAGTACTTCAACTTTACCCTTTTTATTTTATAACTCACTCAACATGATTTTTTTTGGCTGAAAGCAAAAAAAAAGTTTTGAAACCCATCTATATCTATATATATAAAGTTGATATGATTCTATTCTGGTGTTGCCACCTCACCCAAAATAGGTGCTTCTAAATTCACCAATTGGCTATGTCAGCATTGTATTTATTATTTTTAATTTATTATATTTTCTCTTCTTATATTTTAATTCTTTATGATCATTCATTAAATCATTAAATAATACAATAGTTTATGCAAGAATTTGAAAAGTAATTTTTGTAAAAGAAAAAAAAATTATGTATAAATCTAAATTATTTAATAATAATAATAATAATAATAATAATAAAAATAAAATTTTATTATACAAAGAACACTGTTTTTTCTATAGTATTTTTGGATGAAAAGAAACAAGATTAAATATGACGAGACGAAAAAAAATGGAATCGGAAGAGTGGGGAATTTTGTACTTCTTATGATATTAAGTGACGAGATGAGATCTAAAGGAAAGAACAGAATAGGACAAGACCGAAATTTCGCCTACCTTTAATTATATTTAGGGGTGGAACGGAAAAACGAATAAAAATATAATGAGAGGGGACAAGACAGAAATGTTGGACGGGACAAAATGAAAAGAAATAGAATATGACGGGATTGGACGGGACGAGATGAAAAAGGACATAATGGGATGGGAAGGGACGGGACGGGAATTTTGCCTACCCCTAATTATATTTAGAGATGAGACAGAGATAAGATAAAATGGAAATGAACATAATAAGATATGATGGGACTGGATGGGGCGGACAGAACAAACGGGATGAGAAAGAACATGACAATATGAAAAGGAACGGAATGAGATAGAATTATGTCTACCCTAATTATATTTAGGGAACGAGACAATAATAAACAAAATGGAAAAAATCATAATGGAATAGGATATGACTGAACGGGACATGACATGCATGACAAACGGGATGGGAAAGAACGTACAAGATGAAAATGAACGAAATGGGACGAGATGGAACAAGATGGTACAAAACATTGGCCTAACTCTAATTATATTTAAGTAATATGTGTATAATATCTTTGAAACAATATTAAATTTGCGGAAAAACAATAAAACTAACACAACCACGCATAGCGCGGATCACCCCCTAGTTTAAAAATACAATTTTTGAAAAAAACTACCTACTCCGCAGATTTAAGATTGGAACCTAAGATACTCAATCACAAAAGGACATAACCAATGGACTTATAGTAACGTCATTATAATAGCCACCCCTACATTCCGTTTGCAGACATTTATCTTCTACGATTCTTCTTCTTCTCTTTAAACTACCAAAATTCAAGATCGAGTAGATGATTTCCTATGGGTTTTAGAAGAATTCTCCAAATTCTGTGAAATGGAAGCGTAAATGCAAATTCGACTTCCAAAAAAAATTCTTTCTTCAATTTTTGAGAAGATCTATATGCAAAATTCAAATTTTAGACTTCCGACAGGTAATTATAAACTTCTCTTAAAGGAACTTACCGGAATAAGACTTAGGAGTAGGATGGAACCAGAGCTGGTTGGTAGTTGGTGTAGTTTCCTAACTCTTAGGAATCGTTTTTGCTTACCAGAAAAAGTTCCAACATAAACGAAAATGATTAAAGTCTTTGTGTCATGAACAATGGATTCGGTCTTCAATTGAGGTTACAGTAAACAATAGTGTGATGAGAGTGATGAAGAAGGCAACAAATTATCAGTGAGAAATAATACATTCTTTGTTTTATTTCCGACCAAAACTTGCTTAAATAATGCTATATTTTTTCTTTATTTATGATTTTATTTTTCATCAAAGTCGTTGATTTTTGACATGTTTAAAAAATATATATACATATCTAACTGATCTTATGCTTTTATTTAAATCATCCCTAATATATTAAAAGAGAAAACACTAACTAAATAACCTTTATCTAATGTGTTATTAACAAGAATGTCATTGCTTAGGTGTCATCACTAGGTTCACTCTTAGAGCAATTTCTAATTAAGACAAGCTTTACTAGACAAATTACAATATATGCCATTGCATATTATGCTTACAACCAAATAATGAAATTAAATTTATCATTCTCTTTCCTTAATTGGCAACTACGAAAATTAGTAAATAAGGAAGATATGAGATTCAATTTAATTCCATCATAATAATTTCTTTTAAAATCAGTATACATCTTCTATCATCTTTGTTTAAATTTATTTAATAAAATAATTTGAATCACAATATAAAAAATCTATCAAAAAAATCTAAAACTTTTTCTGTACATGTTATGATTTGAATTTTTAAAAACAAAATAATATAAATTGTTTCGTATATAACCTCATTTAGTAGGTATCCAAAGGTAATTTTTTTTTTCATTTAATATGGTTTTTTAATTAAAATCTATAATTAAATCGAATAAAAAAGTTCTTTTTATAAATATTTTATTTTGATTAAACTTTTGAATATTACTCTATCTGTTTCAACTTTCTATACAAAATTAATTATATTTTTGCTGTTTTGACAATTTGGATTCTGCATATTATTTTCTGATTGGTTGGATTGTTTTGAAATTATAATAAAGCATGTTTTAGTTTTGAAAGAAAGAAAAAAATTAGTTCTAATCCGTGTCCACACAGCTAAAACTTTTTATCTTATGAAATACATGATGTATAATTTTTCTAAAGAATAATGTTTTATTTTCAATTTTTTTCTTTAAACTATCTTATTATATTATAGTTATTTGAGTTTTATGTATCTCGGTTAAATCTATCATATTTAATCTGTGGTTACGATCAATGCTTTAATTTATTTCTTTTTTTAAATGGATTAAAATGCCTAATTTTCATACTATAAACGAATAACAAATGTTAAAAATCTTTCTCGCATAAAATGTCGAAATATTTAAATAAACATTTTTAATAAAAATACAAATTCAGAAACTATCACCCCGTACAGGGCACGGGTCAAACCCTAGTTGTTATTGAAACTAGAAACATATGAGTTAATATGTTTTATGATGTTGAAATTAGTGTTTTGTTATTATACAGTTTTAATAGAAGTAATTTTTTTTTTCTATATATCTCCAGTATATTCAATTAACAACTGAAATCGTGGTTATTTCATTAAATTGCATTTATCGCATTTTAGACAGATCACGTTTTTGGGTGATAGACAAAGTATGAAGTTTAGGGTGGAATATGGATAAATTGTCGTTTTAACACTAAATTTCATTAATTTCTAAGGTTTCAAAATAAAAACAGAAGAGATGAAAACAAAAATATCATACAGTAACACATAAAAGATCTAGAAAGCAAGCCGTAAAGCAAATGTAAAAAAAAAAAAGACAAGACCAATTGAAGCACAAAAACAAGATCAAATACTATTATCCTTACTGCCTTACAGAAACAAGATCGAATTATAGTGTTATCGGTTATTCTGGATCCGAATGAGAGGTTTAATATTTCGCCTCAATATTTTTTTTTTTAAGTTTAGTTTATTTATTGTGAGAACATATTGATCCTTCTTATTAAAAAATACTGGAATTTTCAGTTTGTAAAATACTCTTACTAAAATAAATACAAAATGATAATCTTTAAGAAAAAAAAAAAAAAAAAAAACTGTGGGCAAAAAAAGGTGTTGTGCCCACGAAAGGCTTCTTCCTTCCTTTCCTTTATCGCCCCTTTCACTCACTCTCTTATTCTCTCGATCTCAACGCGAAAGCTTTCTCTTTCAAAGGCAAATCGAAAACCAGCAAAAAGCAGTAAGGTCTCCGTACAATCTCTCCAAAACCCTCTCTCTTCTACTTCACTTCTTCTACTGCGCCCGCTCGTTCGGTCAACTCCTTCTTCTACGTATTCCTCTCGAAGTCGGTTGTTTCAATCCTGCTATGGCCGAAGGGAAGTTCGATCTGCCTGACGATCTGATCTTATCGAAATCGTCTGATCAGTTGAAAGGTACTTCCCGCTTCTTCTCCCCTCTTAATCCTCCAGTTTTTCTTCTTCGTTCCGATGTTTGAATTCCTTTCCTTCTCCACCGATTTGAATGTCGAGAAACAATGTTATCGTTTGGTTTCCGGATCTGAATTGCATAGGATGCGGCAGGCATAGCTTAGATTTTGACCGGATTAGGGTTCTTCGATATCAATCTATCTGTAGATACCTGGTTATGTCCGTCCGTGCTTTTCACTGCGTCCAGATGCATTAGCAACTTCATGTTTGGATTAGTGAGGGAGAGATAGAATTTTCTTTTGCCGCCGATTCCAGAGTTTGAGATCTGGAAAGAAAAAGCAATGATTCGTTCGTGCCTTTAGTTCGGGCGCTAGTGGTTTTTTGACTTTTTTTTTATATGCTTGTTTTCTCTGGTTTACTTCAATTTTTGATTTCCTTGTTTGTGCAGAATTGGCTTCAGAGAACAGCATCCCGTTGTCTCCGCAGTGGCTTTACACGAAATCAAGCGAGAGCAAGATGGTAATCTATATAATCAAGGGCTAAACGCTATTCTTCTCTGTTTTTTCACCTTATCATATTGGAAGATGCTCTACTTGTAGTAGAGTTTATTAATTCCTATGAGTTTTGCAGTTTCTCTGTAATATTTTACTCTTATACTCATTGTCCATTCCTCTGATGTTCTTTCTATGCTGTAGGATGTTCGCTCTCCTACTCCAGTGCCCATGGGAAATCCAAGTGACCCAAATCTGAAGGATGCGTGGCGCTTGGATGGACCGGAAGACAAGAAAGACCGGAGGAAGCTTGTTCCTGAGAATGAAACAAGTCGCAGATGGCGTGAAGAGGAACGGGAAACTGGTTTACTCAGTGCTAGGAAAGGGGATCGAAGGAAAGCAGAACGTCGCATTGACAATGTCCCAAACAGAGAAACCGGTGACAGTAAAAATATTGCTTCTTCTGATAGGTGGAATGATGTTAATTCTCGTGCTGTTGTACATGAAACTCGACGCGACAACAAATGGACATCTCGGTGGGGTCCTGACGACAAGGAGAAAGAAACCCGTTCTGAGAAGGTAGATAACAACAAGGACAAGGAAGAGCCTCAGACTGAAAGTCAATCTGTGGTTGGCAGCGTTCGTGCTACTTCTGAACGGGACTCTGACCCTCGTGACAAATGGAGGCCACGTCATAGGATGGAATCCCAGCAGTCTGGTGCACCGGCTTCTTATCGCGCTGCACCTGGGTTTGGACTTGATAGAGGACGATCCGAGGGCCCAAATTTAGGGTTCACAGTTGGCCGTGGAAGGGCATCTTCTATTGGGAGAGGTTCTTCAACTACCTCAATCGGTGCTGGAAATGAAAGTATTCCTGGTAAACAAAGCCATATGTTGCGGTATCAAAGGGGTAAGTTGCTTGACTTGTATAGAACACAGAAGCCTGATCCTTCCCTCGGTAGGATACCAATTGAGATGGAGGAAGTTGCCTCCATTACTCAAGTGGCTTTGGTCGAACCTCTTGCTTTTATCGCACCTGATGCTGCAGAGAAGGTACTCTCCCCACTGAAAACTTGTTCCATAAGTGTGTTATGAATGTTTCTGTTTCTTATTTGTAACTGACTTTTCCTGTGTCTGTTGACGGGTATCTTATCTACTAGGAAAGTCTTAACGGCATATGGAAGGGTAGGATCACCAGTAGCGAAGTTCACACTTCATCTGGGGAAGAATCCTTAAGTGAAAATAGTCTGGGTATGTTATCTTATCTATATTTGCTTGGCCTCTTTCTTTCTACCTCGCATTTTATAACGAATGCCGCTCTGACCTTGGTCTTTTGGATGTTACTGCAGTGAAATGCCACGCACCTGACTCGAGTGAGACAAAAGTGGATGGTGCTTTGCTAGGGCTTGTGAATGGTGACAATGGTTCCATGCATAATAGTGATTCCGGTAAATGCATATTAGGTCTTACTCGGGTTTTTAATATCATATATTATTTGGTTAAGGTCCGTTCTAATGAGTTTTCTGGCATTTTTAGTGACAAATATATTCTGAAACAATTATTTTTGCAGGATTACCTGCTAGTCATAATAGAGGACTGAATTCAGTGGCACCTGAAAGTTGTGGATCTGTTGGAGCTAACTATCAAGTTTCTCATGGAAGTCCTGAAGCGGTTAGATCTGCTTTTGAAAAACCCCCTGTTGCTTCTTTTGAGCTAGATTACATGGGAAAGCTGCATCAACCAGATATCGAAGTAAATCACTCAGAAGGGGTTATGCCACCTGAGGAGTTTATGTTCTTGTATATTGATCCTCAAGGAGTGGTTCAGGGACCGTTCGTTGGTTCTGACATTATTTCATGGTTTGAACAAGGGTTTTTTGGGACAGACCTACAGGTCCGCTTGGAAAATGCTCCAGAAGGAACTCCTTTTCAAGCTCTAGGCAGTGTCATGTCATATTTAAAGGCAGAGAGTGTCCATGCACATATCAGTGATCAAAAGAGTGAGCTAGTAGAGACGAGTTCAAAAGCAGTTTCAGAGGCTAGTTTATCAATTGCACCTGTGGCAGAATCTAATGGTTCTGTGTATAAGCAGCCCTCAGCTCATGATAATTTTCAGAGAAAGTCTGAGTCAGAGGTTTATGTGAAACCACCACATGCTGAGGACCAGAGTTTTTTGCACTTCTCTGCTCAGGACGAAGGTTTGTTATGCTGCTAAACTTTTCCTTTTTTGTGTGCATTTGTGCAGGTGAAAACATTCCTTTTTTAGGGTTTCATATGCTTTTATAGAAGCTTTCGTGATCATATTAATTTATTTTGTATTCATCATAACTAAACAATGTTTTTTGTTATTCCCAGGAAGAGGAGTTTCTGGCCACTCTGCTATTCCTGTTGAATCGACTAAGGCTGCTACTCAATATCAGAATGAGAATAAGCTGCACCCATTTGGTGTGTTGTGGTCTGAGCTAGAGAGCAGTAGTACAGCAGTTAACCTGTTACCAAACAGGTCTGATGATGCAGTGGGGGAGCCTGCTGGTTCAATAGACAATTGGCCCATTGATTCCCTAAAAAATACACAAATTGACTCCAACATGTCCCTCGATGCTCTAAGTGCTAACCGGATGTCGCAGTTTGAACATGTTTCCAACCGCTTTAACCTTGGGAATCAACTTCCATCAAATCACCAACAACAATTCCAAAATCGGGATATGATGTTGCATTCAGTACATGGCCAGAAGTATTCGGATCAAACTCAGGATCTGGAGCATTTATTAACTCTCCAGTTGCAGCAGCAGCAGAAGATCCAGTTGCAACATCAGCAGAAGATCCAGTTGCAACAGCAGCAAAAGATTCAGTTGCAACAGCGGCAGATGGAACAAGAGTATCAATTACATCAGAATCTCTTACAGGAACAACAACAGTCCCAAGCTCGACAATTACATTTTCAACAGATTCGACAAGGACAGACTCCTGATTCAAGGTTTGGGCAGTCACATGACTTTCCTCGATCCAACAGTGTTGATCAGATGTTGGTAGAGCAGCAGCTAATGAATGAATTGCAGAAAATTTCTGGCCATCAGTCACATGACATCCGTCGATCCAACAATGTTGATCAGTTATCAGTAGAGCACCAACAGCTGATGAATGAATTGCAGAGAGGTTCTGGCCATCAGTTACGTGATTTCCCCCGATCCAATAGTGTTGATCAGATGTTGTTAGAGCAGCAGCTAATGAATGAATTGCAGAGAAGCTCTGGCCATCAGTCACGAAATTTCGCGCCACACATTGAGCAACTTGCCGCAGGAAATTTTGGGCAGTCACATGGAGGCCATCAGAGGGAGCTACTTGAACAGCTGCTTTCAACGCAAATGCAATCTCAATATGGACAAATGCAATCTCATTACGGACAAATGCAATCCCAGCATAGACAACTGCAATCTGAACCAAGCCATTCTTTGGAATACCAGCTGCTGCAGCAAGAGCAGTTGATGCAATTGGCAAATGGAGGGAGGCACAATACACTATTGGAGGAACAGAGACATATTGACCCTCTATGGCCATCTGACCATAATGATCAGCTTTTAAGAAGTCATCCTGGGATCCACCGTTCGCGCTCTTCTGCAGGATTCAGACCATTAGACTTTCATCAACAGCAGCAGAGGCCACCCTTCGAGGATCAGCTTGGTCAACTTGAGCAGAACCTTTCATATCAGCAACAACTTCGGCAAGAATTATTCGAGCAGGGTCTTCCATTTGATCCATCAGCATCGCTACCTGTAAGTGCATCGGGGCTGAATCTAGATAGACTAAATAGTCTTGGACTCTCTCAGGGTCTGGAGTTGCGGGATGCTACTGCTCACATGCAATCTTCTGGCAGATTGGGAAATTCTACTCCGGGTTTCACTCATCAGAATCACCGTTTACCATTAGGTGAATCACATTTTTCACAATTGGAACCAACGAAGGAGCGCTGGCCTGGAGCAGACACACAGGTAGCTGGTGACTGGGCCGAATCTCAATTTCATAGATCAAATATTGATGCTGAGCATCACAAAATGAGGTCAGAAATGAGGAGACTGGGTGAGGATTCCAACTCGTGGATGGTAGATGGATCAACAGACGACAAGTCAAAGCAGCTTTTTATGGAGTTGATCCACCAGAGACCCGGCCAACAATCTGCTGAGCCACCAAGCATGAACCGTGGGGAAGCTTATGACAGGAGGGGTCCTTCAGGTCGCGGCATTTCAGACCATGGTGGTAGACTAAACGATCCATCTATTTTTGGGTCGCAGGCATTTTCTGATGAACAGGTAAACAGATTACCACCAGGAGATGGGAACAATATGGGATCATTGCACCGTAATAGTTCCTTGCGTTCTGGAAGTATCGACGGTGGGCGGTCAAGTCAGAATGAAAGTCAAGGCTTGAGTAATATGTTTGGTATGAACAGAGACGCAAATGAGATGAAAAGTTGGAACAATGTGGCCACCAAAAAATGAGGGAATGGGAAGGATGTCATATGAAGCTCAAGACAGAATGGGCAAGCAAGCAGGAATGGACTCTTTGGTTCAAGGAGAGCGTCCTGTTGTTACACTTGGGAAACAGTCTTCTTTCAATATATCTGGTACGTCTCTTTCAGATTCTTAAGGGTTTAGTTTTTCCCTGAAGTCATGGTCCTGATATTCTTCTCCCGCTTGCAGACCCATACAGTGACAACTTGGTTGGAGAAGATAGAAGAAAGGATAGGTAAATTTTTATTATGATGCTTAGCACTTGTAGATTGGATTAGAAAAGCTAATAAGCAACCTGAACTCCTCCTATATCTCTTGTATATTCCTTGTGATTAAATGAAGACTTGAGAGTGTGTTTGTTTGTTTTTGTAGGTTATTGGTAGTGCCATCGCATGGGCAAGAATCAGTATTGCTAAGAAGGCCTCACTCTTCCCATTCTTCATCTTCCCATGAAGGATTGCCTGACAGGACTGCTTCTTCTTTTACTGCAACTGAAGGTATCTAATCTACCTCAAGTTTCATCTTGTCTCTTCTTTTATGCGTTTGTAAACGGAAAATGAGTGTATACAATATGTGATCAGGAGGTGCGAGACGGGAAACAGGAGCAGTAGCGGGAAACAAAGGGTCAACGTCGGAGGCGTCGTTCAGTGAGATGTTGAAGAAGACTAGTAGTAGCAGTAGCATGAAGAAGGTGGCGGCAGAGGCATCGTCTGATGCAACAACCGAAGGAAACAAAGGAGGCGGGAAGAAGAAAGGGAAGAAGGGGAGGCAGCTGGATCCAGCTCTTCTCGGTTTCAAAGTCGCTAGCAATCGCATTCTCATGGGTGAGATTCACCGCGCTGATGACTTTTAAAATCTTTCTTTTCTTTAGTACAAAAATCTTTACATGTAAAGGTCAGCTTCTGCTCACAACTTAGGTTTATAGTTGCACTACTAGATAGGGGTTTTCTCAAGACTTACATTTCTTCCATCACATTCATAGAACACAGGAAATCAATAATAACGTTTTATTTTTACATCTCTCCCTCTCCTTGGTTCGTTTTCATGACTATGCGTCTTTATTCAAAATTTCTTAGTAACTCAGAAGCAGAAAGAGATGGCCCTATTCAGGAAGGGATATTGGCAATTTGGCATGCATGATGAAGGATTTATTTTCCAAACTTTAATCAAGGTTTTGTTGGGATTTAGACAAATTTTGCGAGAAACAAACAATCATAAAAACATATTTACACACACAACAAACACATGAGGGAGGGAATTTGCAAAAGAATGGAGTTAGATCAAAAGTTGATGACAACACTGCTCAAGTGAGAAGCAGAGGGTTTAATCTGATCACAAACTCTCCAGTTGGGGCGTCTATGTTGATCGAGGTCGTAGTATATTAACGTCTCATATCGACAAACCCTTGAAAACAGCACAACCTTATCATTCCATACTCCGACTCTGAACCAGAAACCTCCTTGTCTCGGAGGCACGTACAGCGAGCTCCACGAATTCTCCTCCGGATCAAACACTCCCAGACGTCCCGGCATGTTCCTGTCCATGAAATACACTTTGTTCCCCGCCACAGTGTAGGAGTAAACCGACAACAACTGCTCCGTGTTTATCTCTTCCCACGTCTCCGTCTTCGGGTCATATATGTCCATGTACCTCGCCCCATTCCCTGAAGAAGATCATCATCAGTTTCTAAACATGTTCATTTTATCCGGCATTTCTTAATTTTCCTAACCTAGAGCGTAGAGTTTGGAGTTAAAGGAGAATGCAAATCCACGCCAGAAGACTCGGTCTGGACAAGCCATAAGGCTCCATTGGTTAGTCTCTGGGTTGTATACTTCTGCGTTGAAAAGGCTATAAGCATTTGTTGAAAAGCCTCGAACCACATACAAGAGCCCTCCCACTTCAGCAAATGCAAAGTTGTAACGTGCTATGTTCATGCTCGCTAGCTTTCTCCACCTGTTTCATATAATTCCGACAAGACACAAAGAAATCACAACAAAACAACAAGACCCAATCGCTCTAGTTGAGTAAGAAAATCCCTCGGTTTGCTTTTGACCAACAAAATGATGAATGAAGGAGAGAAAGATTGAGAATGGAGACCTGTTAGAAGCAGGATCGAATTCGTAAACATCGGACGAAGCAGAGACTGTGGTGCTGTTGATCCCGGAGCCGCCTTCGACCTCCGTGTATCCTCCGATGAACACGATCTTCCCGCCATCGAGCGCAGCGACGCCGAAACCGCGCTTAAGAGGACCAGGTACGGGAGGGATCTGTCCCAGTTTGTTCCCGGAGGAGTCGAAAACTTCCCAGTAGACGTCTCTGCCACACTGGCTTTCCATGAGAACACAAAGGAACTCCTCTACCGTTCCGGTCAGTTTCCGAACGACAGTGAAATGCTCGCTCCTGAGGAATGACCTCCATCTCCGGCACACCTGAGAAAGGATCCGGAAGCTGGAGCGAGGGATTCGCGAGAGGCAGAGCTCCGCTGCGTCGTCCGTCAGGCCGGGAATGATCGACGACTCCGTTACCATTTCAAACGCTCTTCACGATTTCGCTTAATCGTTTCAATCATTAAAAAAAGAAAACAGACTTTCGTAATCACTTGGATTACATTCAAGTATAGAAAATTGACAGAGTGTTCTCAAATTTAAAAATCATGACTTTAACACATTGACTTGTTGTCACGTCTCTTAATTAATTTGCATATTCATGTAGTGGTTATTAAATAAAAGCTATGTAAAGTAACGCATCGGGGAAATGCAAAAAAAAAACGATTATCCTTAAATCATTATCTCTTTTAAATAGGCTCCTCGTCTTGTAGAAAGAGAAGAAACGAGCAAAATGTATTAAGCGTCACAAAGATGAGGCACAAAACGACTGTCTAATAGATTGTTCAAGATGAAGTTCCCTTCTTTGACTTTGCCGCCAACTGCGTCTCCGGCTGCAATTAATTTATCAAAAAATGATGAGAAACAGATGGATAGATGGTGATGCTGAAAATCAAGAATAGAAATGCGCATTAAGTACCTCTTTCTTCACAGGCTCTTCCTTCTCTGACAAAATCAACTCAATGTGGCATGGGTTTGACATGTAAGCTGCAAAGAAATACAATCTGATCAAGACTATGAAAAGCAAAAAAAAAAAAGTTGAAGAAAAAGAAATGAATAATAAAAGAAGAAAGAAAACATACGGTTGATTCTTCCATGAGCACGGTAAGTCCTCCTCCTTTGTTTAGCTGCTTGGTTCACTTGGATGTGAGAGATGAAAAGGGCATCAACATCCAAACCTTTCACCTGATATTCATATGGTTTACTAATGATTGTTAGCAACTTGTAACAAGACTCACCAAAGCAATTTAACAAAGCAACAAAAGAGTCGAATTACCTCAGCATTGCTCTCAGCATTCTTGAGAAGATCAAGAACGAACTGAGCGGACTTAGCAGGCCAACGACCTTGACCGTTAGAGTGCCTGTTCTTGGCCTGAGCGGTACGTCCAACACCACGACAGAAACGTGTGAAGGGAATAGCTTGCTTGTGAGCAATCACATCTTCCAAGTACCTCTTGGCCTTGTTCAAACCCAGCTTCCTTATCGCATGCGCTGTCTCCCTCGTGTTCTGCTCACACCAATCAACAACAAGAAGAAAGACTCTATTAGATTCAACCAAATCAAAACCTTTTTCAAAACGAAACCACACCCTATAGCATATCAAACATATCGTACAAAAATGCAAACTTCGATGCAAGAACAGCTATAAACATTTTTAAAAAGCAGAGCAAGAATGTGGTAGCACTCAATGCTATCATGACCAAATCTATAAAACTGAATGATTGATAGCTAAATGTACCATCATGTACTGAACCATTAAGCTATAAGAAGAAACGTAGGTTCACCCAATCACGATGACCAATTCGATTTCCCTGACATTTACGTGAGGTCTGTTATGGTTTTTAACAGAGCCCTGCTTTTTGTTAATCAGGTTTATGACAAGAGCTCTAATCACGAAACATCCTATTCTAAATTCATTTTCGAGATTCGGAGTCAGTACAAGAAATTTACCTTGAAGTGGCACCTAAGATCGGATCCTCTTGCCTTGCAAGCTGCAAAAAACATGCCAATGGAAACCATTTATATCAGTAATCAAGAGATAGCAGCTGAGATGAGAGAATTGATGGTACTAAGAAAGAGTTGTTACATTTGGTGGAGTTGTCCGGTTCTTGAGAGTACTTCACCTGAAGAAACAAACAATAACAAGACGAAGAGCATAAGGCAAAGAATCGAAGATTGTAAAAAGACGAAAACTTGGTAACGAGAGTGTTAAAGCATTTACCATGGCCGCCAAACAGAGAGGAACTGAGGAAGAAGCGAGTAGAGAGAGATCTCTTTAGTCGGAGATCCTTTTTTTAATTTATATAGTGGACACATATGAAACCCTAAACGGCGAACACATTAGTGGGCCTTTCGATGTGCTATTAAATTAATGGACATATAAGGCCCATAAGAAAGTGAAAGCCCAATTATGAGTTGGTAACAAACATCCATCCACGACGTTTAGGCTAAAACCCTTGGACGAATTTTGATTTGCAGATCTTCTTCTTCTTCTACTTTTCCTCTGTAACACAACCACCGAACCCTAGCTTCTCTTCCCCCGTGCACCTCGCGATGGAGTTCTCGGCCGCCGATTTTGAAAGGCTTCTCATGTTTGAGCATGCTCGTAAAGCTTCCGAAGCTCAGTACCTTAACGATCCTCTCGATTCCGAGGTTTGTAGTCTCCTCTTGATTGCATATGGTTTTTTACAATCGTTCAGCTATGGATTACTTTATTGTTGTCATTTAGATTTCATTTGTGTGATGTTTACTCTGCATTGATTGATACCAATCACTGTATATAGTTTGTGTCTTGAATTCACTCTTAATTGTCGTGTATTGAATTAGAAAGCTATGACTTCAATGCAAATTATATAGTTTCGGCGGTGAGATTGATATAGGTTTCTTCGAAATTGCATTTACCGAGCGCATTTTGGATATTGAGTTATTTTAAGAATGCTTTTGCGGATTTTTTATTTGATTTTCCGCAGAATCTAGTGAAGTGGGGTGGAGCATTGCTTGAACTTTCTCAGTTTCAGACTGTTCCTGATGCAAAGCAGATGTTAAATGGTATGAGTTTTCCTTCAAAACCGATCTTTTGCTCACATCTTTAATCGCTCTATAATTGAAACTATGTATTATTGATGGTGTTGTGTAGATGCTATATCGAAGCTGGAAGAGGCATTGACGATAAATCCAGGGAAGCATGAGGCTCTCTGGTGTCTTGGGAACGCCTACACTTCCCAGGCTTTTCTTATTCAAGATATCGATGAAGCAAAGGGTCATTTTGACAAAGCTGCTGAATATTTCCAAAGAGCTGAAAATGAGGTACATCTTTCAGTTGGAAAATATGTATATTGTTGTGACTTGTGAGTGTAGTGAGACCAACTTCTTTCTTTTCTTTTTTTTTTTCCGTTTTTAGGATCCAGGTAATGAGTTATACCGCAAGTCCTTGGATGTCGCAGCAAGGGTACGTACTGCTTCAACTTTTCATTTCCAAATTCTGTATTTTTGTGTCACAAAGGAGAGAGTCATCTAACATTCGATTCAGTATTCTCTCTAATTGAACTTTTGAGCTCATGTTTCTTGCTCCTTTGATGAATCTGAATATTTTGTGTATATGTGATTAGGCCCCGGAACTGCATATGGAGATACACAAGCAAGGAATGGTGTCGCAAGCACTAGGTGGAGGAGGAGGAGGTCCTTCAGCTTCATCGAATGCTGGCGTAAGTTATCACTGTCCAATGTTTTGAAAGTGTCAAGTCTTGTTTTTCTACACAAATTCTCTATTAGCAAGATCCTGAAAAGGTAGTTAGAGAGCGAAACTCTCGCTCATGTGGGTTATATTCTCATGGTTGCTTTGAGTAATTGCCTTTTGGTTTTTTGCAGGGTAGCAAGAAGAAGAAGAAGAACAATGACTTCACTTATGATGTATGCGGTTGGGTCATTCTCGCTGTTGGCATTGTTGCTTGGATTAACATGGCTAGATCTCTTGGCCCTCCACCTCCTGCAAGATAAAAAAAAAAAAAAGCCATAGTAGTGATGAAGGCATTACATAAGAAAATAATGTCACACACACAAAACTCGATAGTTTTCATTTCCCCGAACAGAGCGGTTCTAAGTTGAAGAGATTAACGTTTGTGGTTATGATACTTCTTCATCTTCTTCAACTTGTTTTGTTTACTTTGTTAGTAGAGGATGTTTATTTCTTCATGTCTATTTCATATTTCATCGTTTGTACGTGGTAAGGATACGTTTTTTTTTTGCCATTATCCTGGTCCTGAAGCTATCAAGTTATGTTTTGGTTTGTGGCACAATTTCTATATTTAAACGTCTTGTAAGAATAATCTTTCTCTGAAGAAGGTAAGGGCAAAGTTTCCTGTTATAAGATGTTAAAAAATTGGATGGTAATATTTGCGCAAAATTTAAATAAAAAAAAATGGATGGTAAAAAGACAATAAAGACCTAAAGAGTTTTGTAACACAAGGCGAAAACCCTGAGGGCATAACTGTCCTTATATCTTATCCCTCTCGAAGGCAAGAGACATTTATAAAGAACGAAACGCAGCGTTGAGCTCTTTCGAGTGACTCTCTCATCTCGCTTGAAGAAAAGAGGATGGCTTGCAAAACGATATTGCGTTCCGTTTTCCTATCGGAATCACGTCGGAGTTCCGGCGTAAGCAGGTGCTTCTATGCTCCTCCTTCTCCGGCGTCAGTTCCGGTCCATGGTTTGTTCCTGGCGCCAAAGAGTCTATGTTTCAGTGGTTTTGCGTCTGTTCCCGAACGGGTCACTCGCCTCAATTGCAGCCATAACGATCAATCCGAGCAAGGTCCGCCCCAGGAAGCTGTCCTCAAGGCGATTTCAGGTCTGCGCCGAATTAAATTTCTTCCTAGTAGCTCGTTTTGAGTGATTTTTGTTCGTCTAGCCGAAATGGAATTTGATTATCGGATTGCGATAAGCTTGGATCTGCTAAAGAAGGAAACGGATTTGTAGTTTCGTTAGAGTGATTGTGTTAGGTATGATACGCAGGCGGCTATTTTCTTGGTTAATCGGGACTCAAAAACTATAGTGTTCAAATCTTTACATTGTGTGGATTCAGTTTCACTGGAATTTAGATTATTTGGGGTTAACAATCAAGCTTGAATGGGGAACGAAACAGAGGATGTTTAGTCCCGAGTATTAGTTTATGGATACTTTTGGTTTTTGCTGCAGAAGTGTCAAAGACTGATGGGAGGGTTGGGAAAACTACTAATGTGATTATCGGAGGCACTGTAGCTGATGATTCTGCTAAAGAGTGGCTCGAACTTGACCAAAAGGTACCCCTTTTCTCCGATTCCTTACTTGTTCTGTTAGTTTCTGGTAGATTTGAAATGTATTCCGTAAAATTTAACAAAGGAGATGGATACTGGCTGACTCGAGGCTTTTTACTTGCCGCCAGGTCAATACATACCCTACAGAAAGAGGGTTTACCGCAATCGGGACTGGTGGCGATGACTTTGTTCATGCTATGGTTGTTGCTGTTGAATCTGTTATTGAACGTGACATTCCAGAGGTAACTTGTTTTGCTCTTAGAAAACCTCTCAGTTTCTTTCGCCTATACATTATAAGTGTGATTGATACGAGTTTTTTTATATCAAAGCTCCTGAATATCAATCTAGAAATATAACCTGCTAGCTTACTATTTCTCTATTAGGCTTCTTACTGTTACATCAGTCCTTTGTTTATTGTTCACTTCTTTAGCGTATAAAAAAGTACCAGGCTTTGAAATTCTCTGCCTTTAGTAGGTGATGTTGATAATATTGGACCGCTGGGGATGGGGTTACTCTATGGGCCTGTAAAACTATTTATTTTGTTAATTACTACTATCCTCGCTACTTCATGGAAAGGGATGATTTATACTAGAAGGTTAAATTAGATTCTAGATCAGATATAAGAAGTAATAGTTCAAATTACCATCAACTATTGAGAACTCATTTCGAAATTTGTTTAATTGCTCTGATATCTGCAATTACTTGTTAGTGGGGTTCATGCTTTCTAATTATAAGCAGATGATATGTTATGTTTATATCTTCTGTTGTGAAGTAGTTTCTATTTATTAGCTTCAATAATTGTTCTGTTTGGTGGCACCAAAAATCTCTGCTAGTGTCTTGTATACAGTACTTTGGAACGCACAGGCTTTGATAATTACAACAAGCATAACGTGTATATTGCTTACCTTTTTTGTGAATTATCTTGCTTTGGTATATGATAAGTCTTCTGCAGTAGCTTAGCTGCTAACTGTTTATTTTCCTTCTTACTGTTATGCTTAGATGTGAACTATATTGTTCTATTAGAGAATCAGATACGAATATCTTTTGATGTAATGTCTTTCAAGCAAATATTCTAATCCCGAGAACGTGAGAATCTAACTAATGCTGTTTGCCTTCATCAAAGGATTGTGTAAAGCAGACATTATCAAGCAAAGGCAAATACGTGTCGGTGAATATTGGCCCTATCCGAGTTGTCTCTAGCGAGCAGGTTTTTTCCCTTTTACCTCTCTCACACACATATATAGACATATATGCAAAGCAATATGGGTATATAGGCACAAGAAGCATAGAGAATCAAACCTTAATTACACAGAGAATGAGAGGAAGTTTGTGTTGATTGCTTTTAACAGGTTCAAGCTGTGTATAATGCAATGAGGAGAGACGAAAGAATGAAATACTTCTTGTAGGTTTGAGGTTGTGTAGAATCACGGGTCTTTTCTCTCTTCTCTCTACTCCATTGCGACTATATCTGTAAATTATGCAGTGTAAGACCATATTATTTATTCTATTATTGCTTTATCTACACCAACTAAGTCTTCCTTCTTTTTGTTAGACACTGTCTTCATATACATTCTGGGGGAATTCGTCAATTATGTTAAAATGACTTACAATCTAAAACCTAAATAGTTTTAGGTGGGAGAAGTTCTTTCATCTCTCTGAAATAGAGTTGGAGTTGGTTCTAAGATTTAATGCCCACAAAGTTGTGTCTTCTTCAACCAGAGAGGGCCCAGGGTCAAGAATAGAAAAGAAAAGTCGAATGACTAATAAACTCTTCAACCTTTATTTAATCTTGTTTAGATACAAAAAGCAATATATTATTCAATATAATCTTCTTCTTTTTCCACCTCGGTATACATTATTTTCTGATGAATCAGAAGAAGCTGTTACTTGTTAATGAGTGGTATTGATTAAATTACTAAGATGGAGATTATTGTGTAAAAGTGGAAGGTGAGGGGGTTTATCCTGAATGTTTAATGTTGAAATTAGGTTAAGTGGCACTGTTGGCCAACTAAAAGCATCCCCAAATATACTCAATAATGACACTCTCCCTCTTGTCTATTCTTTTATTGGGTTAGGAATAACAAAAATTCTTCAAGGTATTAATGATTCTAACTTGCTTACAAAGCCATAAACACGCACGAGATTGCAATAAAAACCCTACCATAACCCCCACTTTTCCATCATTTCGTACACTCACACACGCAATTATCACAACATTGCATATTTGATACCATACATACACGCAAAACACTATTACACATACACATACATTTTCGAAGGAAAATAGATGAAAGATCGGATGGAGCGATGTGTGGTATTGCCGTTTTCATTGGGTTGTTCAACGCATTCCAGCGTCGCCGTGGCTGATACTCATCAACAAGACAAGAAATCAAACCAACTCGTCAAGAGTAACTTCTTCTTCTTCTCACACCACCTCCTTTTTCTTTCTTTTATTTCTGTTTTTTTTTTGATATTTTTGTCCTTTTTGTTTTTCTAAGGAAGAGAAGAAAGTGATGAAAATGGCTTGTTTCGAAAAGAAGACACAAAGATAGACAACAACGGTGCTAATATCTCAGATGGTATCTACAAAATTATTCGAAGCTTCAAGAGTTTTTCTCACTTTTTCATTCGTATGTCCTTTTTCCTACTCTCTTATTATTATAGTTTTGTAATTTTCTTATTGGGAGGGAACACTAGCTGCACAACATTTCGTAAATATTTGAAAAAGGAAATCCAAAAGAGGTTTAGTAAATATTTTTTCCAAGATTTTGTACTTTAAACTTTTTTTTCCTTACTCCCCTTTTTTTGAAACAAAAAACTAAAATAGTGTGTAAGAAAATACAATATTATATAAATAGTGATTATGGATTATTAGCTAGCTATTCCCTACCAACTTGGCGTTCTTGCTATTGGCGTAGCATGTATGCATAATAAGACAATCATATGAACATAACGAGTAAATTATAGTGTAATCAGAAAACAAAGTCATGTTTGGAAGGTGAAAAAAAAACAGATTAAATTATCCTCAGTGCTTTATATTATTAATAGAGAACTGGCATGTATGGTTGGTTACACGGGACAAATCAATATGTAGTAATAGATTCATCATTTAGTATTGATGACAATACATAACATATATGAGCAGGTTACGAAGAGGAGACGGAAGAGAGAGAGGCGGAGATGGAGATAGGGTTTCCGACGGACGTGAAGCACTTGAGCCACATCGGAGTAGATGGAACCATGACCACTTTTGACGTTTGTTCCACAACCACCTCCTCTTCTTTTCCATTCGCCGGTTTCCATCTCACTGCCGTCTGATTTTATTTGTATCTTTTTCCTACTATAACAACTTGAGTCGTTTTTATCTTACACACATTTCTTTTAATATGATATAGTTTCCTAGTCGCAAAACTATGCTACTTTGGTTGCATGTAAATACTTCAATTCTATTCAATAATAACGACTCTCAAAATATGGCGCCAACCATTATTGCCGATCTTTTTTACCAACAATTATTGCCGATTTCATCTTTTAATATTGGTAAGTTTTCTTCCCCACCAACATTCATCCATCTTATTAATTTTTTCGTGAGTTGGTAAAATTTTCAAAATCTTCTTTTGAAAAGAAGAAAAAAACGCTTCACTGAAATTCTTGTGGTGCAAAAAAATAGATAAATCTCATGAATCTCAGCTGAAACTTATAAATTTTCTGTTTAAAACCCAAAATGAAAAAAAAAAAAAATCGATGCAAATAAATACAACAATTTGATTATCTTCATATTCGAAAAACTTTAACAAAATTATCTTTGTATTTGCACAAAATGCCACAAATGATCTGTAATACTTATAAATCACCCGGTGAATGAGAATGTGTTTATCGTTTTGTAGCAATCCTAATTCGATATATTTCCTTTTTTTCAGCTAATTGTGGATGTAAGATCTGGCTATATGAAACGGATTGGACTGATTTAAACTATGGCTAAGTAAAACACCCGATCTGGTTTTCCACAATTGCGGTCAGTTTGTCTCGACCGCTTCCTGATCGAGACAGTTAGTCAGATTTTTAACCTTTTTCTTACTTAGCATTTTGCAAGGTTCAGGTTAATTCCGTCTAACTAGTAACCTAACTAGTTCCGCTAATCATTTAACTTACCAGACATATTTAAAGCTCACCTTAGCCGTATGCAGATATAGGATTGAACCTTTGTTCCTGTTGTGGTCGGCCCCATGTTCCGCTCGTCCGGATATTGGACTCCGCACTGCCACAATCTTCATGTACACCAACCACCAATCCTACACTGTCTCCTTTTCACTCAACCAACCATCCCCACATGACTCAATAACAAAGGAAGACGACTCAGATCCTCGATCCTTCAATAGTGCATCCAATAGTTGGTGATTCCCTTTCCAGTAATGATTTACTCGATCACAGCCGATAGAATCATGTCCCCAATATCCAATCCTCGGCCAAAATCGATTGTTTCTCAATCACAGTAACAAATAACCACTCCAAGTCGATCGATCCTCGATCGCAGTAACGAATACTTGACCATGGTCGATGGATTCTCGTCCACGGTGTAAGTTAACCGTTTCATGAACGCTCGGATCATTCCTCTGAACTAATCCGCTCGATCTGGACTCTTCACCTCTCGGCCAAACTCGAATCAGATCGTTCAGAACTCGATCAGAACTCGTCGTCGATCGATCATACCCATATCCGGATCGATCAGAACCACCTTCATTTGAACCCCTCATTCTCACGAAAACTGCTATTTTCTATCGTACATAATGTACTCTGTTTTCCTTACGGTGAGACTCGATCTCCGCAGTAACTAAGTCGACGAACTCTCGATCCACACTGGATCATCGTAACAGACTCTCGATTCGATCTTCCAGATCAGTTTCTTTCGATTACATTGTAGTTTCACTCGATGGCGGATCTTTTCTCTCTATCCTTTTCTATTTTCTCTCCACAGAACTTGCATGTCCTCCCGAAACGATGATTTTTCGTGAAGATGACCCAGAAACCGTCCAATAACCTTCACTTAAGGGACTCGCTCTGTAACACCCCAAATCGTTCTAGGCACAGACGTTCCGAGAAGCGCCACAAAACGTTGAGGTTCGCTGAATAGGCCATCCCAGACTAAGAACAAATCAGAGCCCAGGTCAGCCCGTCCTACGAACTCGACCCTCTTGACCAAAGCCTAAGGCTTGCCAACCCGTACTTCGGTCAGGAGTTGTGTTAGCCGGGACCAAACTAATATCATTGAAAGGGTCTTTACATAAAACTTTCCTTTATTAAATATCAGAGTACATTACAAAATCCAATTTATTTAAAAACATGGGATTGATCCTTAATTCCAAAACCAAACAGCAAACCATTATTTTACAAAACCATACCACAAAACTATTTTGGTCGCCTATTGCCTGCAGCGGTCCGCTCTACTTCACACATCTATGGTTACCTGAAAACATTAAACAAAAGGAATAAGTAATCTAATATTATTCAGTGAGTCTAGAACCTTTATTTCCTAAACTCTAGTTCCCTAAACTCTAAAACATAACGTCGCGGGCTTATAATCATGCCTCCACCTACATTGAGGTTAACACACCACAACCTACATAACATATACAATAATAATGCTATAGTCTCAAGACTAATTGTACCTCAATCAAACAAGAACAAGTACGATCAATCCAAGACTATAACAACATTCAAAGGTCGATCTATCATACCCAGATCCCGATCAATTAGAACCACCTTCCTTCATTTGAATCCTTCATCCTCAAGATAACTGCTCTTTTCTGTATTATGTTTCCCATTTTTATTCACTTCTAAAAAAAACACTTTTCTGTACCCAAAGAATTAAAAATTGTCTAAAAATGAAAAAAAAGAAATCGAAGAAAAAGCAAAAGCAAAAACAGTAAAAAGTGAGTAACAGTAACCCACAAAAGGAAAGGTTAGAATAATGGAGAAAAGTACAATAAAAATGAAAAAGAAGAAGACTGTGACTCTCTCTGAGTAAGATTTTATCCAAACTCATTTGATTTTCCTGAGGCGATTATGGCGTCTCGTCCCACTCACTGTCGCTCTTAGTCTTACGATTCCTTCTCCGATCGGTGTCCTCCGGCCGATTTCTTCGTCCTTCTCTTCTCTGTTTTCAACTTGAGGTTTCTTCTCTTACTTCCCCCCATATTATACGAATGCTTTCTCTCTTGAGATTTGGGCGTCTTCTCGTTTATTTTTCTTAGAATTTAGCTTTATGCTTCTGGTTCGAGAATGATACTGATCGATTCTGAATTGGATTAATGAAATTGGTGAATGGAGATTTTGTTAGGAGGATATGGCGAATTGTTTTTGCTGCTGTTCCTTATTGTCTTCTTCGTAGCTCTTTTTGCTTCTCCGTTTGTTTTTTTCCCTGACGTTTTTGTAATATTACTTTAGGGGAGTTGGATTGTAGCAATCCGTAACTTTTTTCTCGTTAGTTAGATGAAAATTTATTGGGTTTTGGGGACCATTTGCTTTCATGGAAAGCCCTAGCTGAGGGGACCTTGATTGGGATCGAAACCTAACTTGTTGTCCCATTTTATTAGTTCAAATCTTTATTGCTGCAGATAGATACCTTCATGGCTGAAAATGGTGCCGTTTCCTTTGACAAAGTTAACTCAATGTGTTAATTTCTGTAGACCCCTATGGTAAAGCTTCTAGCCTTTGGTTTAGTTAGAAACCCTGTGGAAGTACAAAGGGAGGAATGGGTTAGGGGAAAGGTTTGTGATTACGATGGCTTATGATAAGATTCCGTTTACTTAACAAGTTGCTTATATTCTGGGCAATCTGATTTGAGGGGATTGTGGGGGCCAGTTGAGTAAATGCCACTTGGTTTTTGTGTGATGGAGAGGGCAACAGGGAGCTAAAGAAAAGAACACCCTTTCTCTTGCCCTTTTTGCTGGTCTGGGTGAAACATAGAAAGCTTCTCTCTTTCTGAAGTTCATGATAAAAGTTTTTGTGTTAAGAAAAGCTGATGAGAGTGTTTGGTGCTGANTTAAAAACATGGGATTGATCCTTAATTCCAAAACCAAACAGCAAACCATTATTTTACAAAACCATACCACAAAACTATTTTGGTCGCCTATTGCCTGCAGCGGTCCGCTCTACTTCACACATCTATGGTTACCTGAAAACATTAAACAAAAGGAATAAGTAATCTAATATTATTCAGTGAGTCTAGAACCTTTATTTCCTAAACTCTAGTTCCCTAAACTCTAAAACATAACGTCGCGGGCTTATAATCATGCCTCCACCTACATTGAGGTTAACACACCACAACCTACATAACATATACAATAATAATGCTATAGTCTCAAGACTAATTGTACCTCAATCAAACAAGAACAAGTACGATCAATCCAAGACTATAACAACATTCAAAGGTCGATCTATCATACCCAGATCCCGATCAATTAGAACCACCTTCCTTCATTTGAATCCTTCATCCTCAAGATAACTGCTCTTTTCTGTATTATGTTTCCCATTTTTATTCACTTCTAAAAAAAACACTTTTCTGTACCCAAAGAATTAAAAATTGTCTAAAAATGAAAAAAAAGAAATCGAAGAAAAAGCAAAAGCAAAAACAGTAAAAAGTGAGTAACAGTAACCCACAAAAGGAAAGGTTAGAATAATGGAGAAAAGTACAATAAAAATGAAAAAGAAGAAGACTGTGACTCTCTCTGAGTAAGATTTTATCCAAACTCATTTGATTTTCCTGAGGCGATTATGGCGTCTCGTCCCACTCACTGTCGCTCTTAGTCTTACGATTCCTTCTCCGATCGGTGTCCTCCGGCCGATTTCTTCGTCCTTCTCTTCTCTGTTTTCAACTTGAGGTTTCTTCTCTTACTTCCCCCCATATTATACGAATGCTTTCTCTCTTGAGATTTGGGCGTCTTCTCGTTTATTTTTCTTAGAATTTAGCTTTATGCTTCTGGTTCGAGAATGATACTGATCGATTCTGAATTGGATTAATGAAATTGGTGAATGGAGATTTTGTTAGGAGGATATGGCGAATTGTTTTTGCTGCTGTTCCTTATTGTCTTCTTCGTAGCTCTTTTTGCTTCTCCGTTTGTTTTTTTCCCTGACGTTTTTGTAATATTACTTTAGGGGAGTTGGATTGTAGCAATCCGTAACTTTTTTCTCGTTAGTTAGATGAAAATTTATTGGGTTTTGGGGACCATTTGCTTTCATGGAAAGCCCTAGCTGAGGGGACCTTGATTGGGATCGAAACCTAACTTGTTGTCCCATTTTATTAGTTCAAATCTTTATTGCTGCAGATAGATACCTTCATGGCTGAAAATGGTGCCGTTTCCTTTGACAAAGTTAACTCAATGTGTTAATTTCTGTAGACCCCTATGGTAAAGCTTCTAGCCTTTGGTTTAGTTAGAAACCCTGTGGAAGTACAAAGGGAGGAATGGGTTAGGGGAAAGGTTTGTGATTACGATGGCTTATGATAAGATTCCGTTTACTTAACAAGTTGCTTATATTCTGGGCAATCTGATTTGAGGGGATTGTGGGGGCCAGTTGAGTAAATGCCACTTGGTTTTTGTGTGATGGAGAGGGCAACAGGGAGCTAAAGAAAAGAACACCCTTTCTCTTGCCCTTTTTGCTGGTCTGGGTGAAACATAGAAAGCTTCTCTCTTTCTGAAGTTCATGATAAAAGTTTTTGTGTTAAGAAAAGCTGATGAGAGTGTTTGGTGCTTGAAATTCTGAAGCTTGTTTCTCTTCTTTCTTTTTGGTATTGATAGTTGGAAGGCGTCGTCTCTATATATAAGGTAGCTGTTTGGCTAGCTAGGATTATTATTTATAGGGTTGTCTAGTCTTTCTCTTATTTGATTTTCTCTTTCATTGACTATCCCTAGTTTTGCAAATTTGTGGTTTGTTGCAGGATTTGCTGCTCTGGATTTGGTGGTTAGTCTATGAAATCAACCCACATCTTGAATGGACAGCAACGCGGTACCTCCAATGTGGGACTGGGAGAATTTGTTCATGTCCAATCCCTCAAAGACTGAGAACGACAAGAAGCAGCTATCTACTGAGTGGGAAGTAGAGAAAGGTGAAGGAATTGAGTCTATAGTTCCCTGTTTCGCTGGCCTCGAGAGAGTCAGTAGTGGCTCTACCACCAGTTTCTGGCAAGCTGCTGTGTCGAAAAGCTCACAGTCGACCTCTATCAACTCATCGTCCCCCACAGTCAAACAACGCAAGCTTGCATCAGAAAGTTCCCCTGGAGGAGATTCTTGCAGCAACTTAGATTTTGTTCAAGTCAAGGCATCTACAGCTCTCGAGGTATCTGTTACCTTCTGCTGAATCAGATCTTTGTTTAAAACTAGGAAAGCGGACATATTCTCAAGTATATAGGGGTAGAAACAATAATGACATTTCAGCCGTTTCTGTGAAGCTGTTGACTCCATCTGTTGTTGCTCGGAAGAAATCCAAATCTTGCGGTCAGAGCATGCAAGTCCCCCGTTGCCAAATTGATGGATGTGAGCTTGATCTCACATCTGCTAAGGACTATCATCGTAAGCATAGAGTCTGCGAAAACCATTCAAAGTGCCCTAAAGTTTTTGTGAATGGCCTCGAGCGTCGATTCTGCCAACAGTGTAGCAGGTAAGACCATGATCTATGGCCTCTTTTTGTTCGTTAGCTGCATTCTCTTTGCTGTATAAGTCAGTTTAGTCGTCAAGAAACTAATTTTTACAATGTCCTAACATTATACGCTAGAGAACTGATTTTCTTTTTCTAATGTTGAGGTTCCATGCCGTCTCGGAATTTGATGAGAAGAAAAGAAGCTGCCGTAAACGTCTGTCTCATCATAATGCGAGGCGTCGCAAGCCACAAGGAGTGTTTCCATTGAATCCAGAGAGGGTGTACGGTAAGAACCTACACTACCATTTGATCTGTTTGATCTCTCTATCTCACAAACACAACTTGAAAATTCACTGAAATCTTATGTGAAATGTTTACTCATGCAGATCGAAGACAGCATACAAGTATGCTATGGAATGGGTTGTCCCTGAACACGAGATCTGAGGAAAAATATGCGTGGGATACCACTTATGAAACAAAGCCTACACAGCCGGAAAGCAGTTTTACTCTGAGCTTCCAGAGAGGTAATGGCTCCGAGGAGCAGTTGCTTGCTAGTAGCAGCCGCTCTTTGTCTGCGTTCCAAACCTCTGGCGGGTTCTCAGCAGGGAAGTCTAATTTTCAACTTCCTGGCAAAGGTTTGATGATAGTCTCACTTCTTTACTGGTCTTCTTTTGTGTTTGTAAATCTCTGTGAGTAATGTATATGATATGGCAGGTGTAGGAGAATACTCAGGAGGCCTCCATGAATCGCAAGATTTCTACAGTGCTCTCTCTCTTCTGTCAACGTCTCCGGATTCACGTGGGACCAAACACGATCCCCCACAGCCGATATTTGGCACTTTCCCTACTCATTTCATATGAATTGAGTAAGGAATGTCAAGTCACTCCATTATAAGTCAGGTTGCATCCGATGGAGTTTCTGTAAAATAAAACTGTGTGTAATGTTGTTCATTGCTCAAGCTAAACCAGTTACTCGGTTAGCTCTGGTTCTCTATTACTTTTCCAAACATATTATGTCCATTTCTTCCTAGATTGCCGTTGTATCTCAAACGTTGTTACTCTTAAGATTCTTAAACTTGTTTGAATAGTGAAGACAAGCTCTGTTTTTATTTTCAAAAAAGTTAGATGTGTGGGTTTTGGAGGCAACCACATTTCAATAAATGATGGATCTCGGGACAAACCTGATCATTCTCTCTTCAAAGATTTATGTTTCCAAATGTGTCGCACTTAGATTATAAGAAGTAAGACTAAGAACTGACTTCTAAAGATAATTGTGCTGGAATTGCAAATAACCTGAAGATTTTGATAAATAAAGCGAATTCCAGCAGTCTTTTATAAAGACAGAGATACATTGCAAAGTCTATACGAGGTACAGTACATATATTCACTGTTTAGAGTTGTGTTGACAATGACTTTGCTACTAGTGTCTGAAAGTCTGAAACACGGATAGAGATAAGAAAGCAACAGAAACATTGGCATACATTATCATCCATAATGAAGCTGTCTTGATAAGTTTGGATTTAGTATCCACAAACTTAACCTAAACCGGTTATACAAATTTCACAATACTTACTCAAATCTATTTTGGTACACTATCATACGAAAAGAGTAGAGAAAGTGGCTGCCCATGCGGTTGCACCAGAGGATCCGAAGAGGTTGACAGAAGAGAGAGAGCACGGTGGTATTCTTGAGATTCATGGTGGACTCCTGAGTATTCTCCCACACCTACCACAACAAAAACACAACAGATAAATCTACTCCATCCATGTAATAAAGGGACCAGTGAACAAGTGCAGATACCAACCTTCGCCATGAAGTTGAAACTTGGGCTTCCCTGCCGAGAACCCGCCAGAGGTTTGAAACGCAGAGAAAGAGCGGCTGCTACCAGCAAACAACTGCTCCTCGGAGCCATTACCTCTCTGGAAGCTCAGAGTAAAGCCGCTTTCAGGCTTTGTTTCATAAGTGGTATCCCACGCATACTTTTCTTCAGATCTCGTGTTAAGGGACAAGCCGTTCCACAACATACTTGTATGCTGTCTTCGATCTGCACGAGTAAACATTCCACATTATAGACAAACAGAACAACATACAGATAGAATATCAAAGTTGGGGGTGTAGGTTCTTACCGTACACCCTCTCTGGATTCAGTGGAAACATTCCTTGTGGCTTGCGACGCCTTGCATTATGATGAGACAGACGTTTGCGGCAGCTTCTTTTCTTCTCATCAAATTCAGAGACGGCATGGAGCCTAAAAGTTTAGAAAAGAGATCACTTCCCCTACCGTAAAACTGAACAAAACTTAAGAATTAAACGACTTCAAGAACATAACCACCGCTCTAAACTATAATCATGGTGTCTTTACCTGCTACACTGTTGACAGAAACGACGTTCAAGGCCATTCACAAAGACTTTTGGGAACTTTGAATGGTTTTCACAGACTCTGTGCTTACGGTGATAGTCCTTGGCAGATGAGAGATCAAGTTCACATCCATCGATCTGGCAACGAGGGACTTGCATGCTCTGACCACACGATTTGGATTTCTTCCGAGCAACAACAGATGGAGTCAACAGCTTCGTAGAAACGGGGGAGATGTCATTGTTGTTTCTGCCCCAAAGTTCTTCAGAGTATGTCCGCTTTCCTAGTTTCAAACAAAGATCTGACTCAGCAGAGGCAACAGATACCTCAAGAGTTGTGGATGCCTTGTCCTTGACAAAATCCAAGTTGCTGCAAGAATCTCCTCCAGGGGAGCTTTCTGGTCCAAGCTTGAACCGCTTGACTGTGGGAGATGATGAGTTGATAGAGGTCGACTGTGAGCTTTTCGATGCAGCAGCAGTGTGCCAGAAACTGGTGGCGGAGCCAGTTTTGACTCTCTCAAAGCTTGAGAAATATGGAACTATAGATTCAATTCCTTCACCACGCTCAATCTCCCACTCAGTAGAGAGCTGCTTCTTGTCATTCTCGGTCTTTGACGGATTGGACATGATCAAATTCTCCCAGTCCCACGGCAACGGAGATCTCATGTTGCAGTCCATTCAAGATGCGGATAGATTTCATAGACCTACCACCAACGCCAGAGAAACAAATCCTGCAACAACAGCCACACAAGTTTTGATCAACAAACTGAAAAATCAAACAAGAAAAGACTAGACAAATCTGTATTTCAGCTACCTTCAAGTATCAACTATCAATACAAGAAGAAAGAAGAAAAACAAGCTTATGAGTTTCAAGCTACCACACACTGCTCATCAGCTTTTTGCTTACACAAGACTTTTTTGTTTTTATGATTAAGAGGAAAAGGTTTCTATGTTTCAGCCAGACCAGCAAAAAGGGCAAAGAGAAAGGGTGTTCCTTTTCTTAGCTCCCTCTTGTGCTCTCCATCACACAAAAACCTAGTGGCATTTACTCAACTGGCCCCCACAGATTCCTCAAGAAAACACGATGTAAACAAGTCATAAGTCATATAGCCATCGTAATTGAAAACTTTCCCCTCACAAGATTCCAAACTAAACCTCAATGCTCAAATCTTACCGCAGGGTCTACAAAAATTTACTTATTTGAAATGAATATAACCTTGTCAAAGAAAACGGCACCAAGCTCTCAGAGTCTTGAGGGTATATCTATCTGCACCTATAAAGATTGAACTATAAAAATGGGACAACAAGTTAGGTTTCGATCCCAATCAAGGTCCCCAAGCTATAAGGTTTTCATTCAAAGAAAGTGGTCCCTGAAACCAATAAATTTCATCTAACAACTGATTTGGTAAAAATAAAAAATAAAAAAGATATCAATGTTACAATCAAATTCGCCTAGTAAAACTAAAACCACCGACGTCATGGAAATGGGAACGGAGAAGCAAACAAAGCTAAGAAGAAGAAGAAGAATAATACAATAAACGTGAAATTGCTACTACTCACCATGAAATAACTAATTCATTGATTCATCGATCTCTCACTTAAGGACCAGAGGCATAATTTAAAGATCAATTTAAAGAAAACAAACGAGTAAGAAACCCAAATCTCAGGAGGGAAAAAGTTTTCCCGGAATATGGGGATGGGGGGAGTAAGAGAAGAAAGGACACCTCAAGTAAGAAAACAGAGAAGTACGGCGGAAGAAGTCTCCGGAGGTCACCGATCGGAGAAAGAGTGGTTTGACTTAAAAGCGACAGTGAGGGAGACAAGACAACATAATCATCGCCTTGAGGAAATCGTTCTTCTGCTCAGGAGTCCTTTCTATTTCTTCTTCCTTTGTCTATTTCGCCTTTTCCTTCCTGTTTTGCTTTGCTTTCTTTTTTTTCGCTTTACTCCTTTTGCTTTGATTATAGTTTTCTGCTCAAACAATATGTATTTTCCTGACAGAGAACACATATTTTCGTGCCTTTTTAGCTTATTTAAACCGATTTGATTGTTTAATAAAATAAACAAAAATCATACTCATACACAACAAAATGGCGGTGAAAATGATGAATTACTGTACTTAATTTAGGCTCTTGTTCGGATTTTATCATTAACGAAATTGCTGTAGTTCTTTTTGTATTACAATGTTTACGGTTTCTTAAAAACCTAATAACGGTTTTACTATAAAATATTTCAGTTTATATAAAACAAATGTTTCAATTCGTGTCAAAAAAATATATACATATCGCAAGACTCAACTTGAAATTTAATCTAATCTGAAAACCGAGCTCTAAGACTTTATAAATTTGGTAAGAAAAATAAATAATCTGGGTGGCTTTTTTTTATTTTTATTTTTTTTTAACAACAATAATCTGGTGGCTTATGAATATAACTTGACGAATATACAACATTTTACCCTACTCCAATGGAATTTCTTGATTTGTAGCAAAACACATAAATTCAGTAAACCTTTGCTTATAATCCTTTGTCAACTCTCCGGCAGCTTCATCTACATGGTTGTACATCCAATCACGATTCATGTGTTTATTGGAAGCCATAGAAAACGATTTCTCCACTTCTCCTTATGTTTTTTCGCAAAATCAATTCTGATTTTCTTATACCTAAATTTTCCAACAAAAGTTTTGTCGCAAATTTGTTGGAAACAGCTCGAAGTTAAAATCGTTGGAATTGGGCCCATGTTTCGTCGCCAAATTGTTGGAGTCGGTTTGATGTTTTGTCGCAAAAACGAATGAAATTGGTTTGATGCGTCGTCGCAAAATCGTTGGAATCGGCTTGATGTTTCGTCCCAAAAACGTTCGAATTGGTTTGATATATCGTTGCAAAGACGTTGGAATTGGTTTGATGTTTCATTGCAGAATTGTTGGAAACGATCCAACTAGTCGTCGGAAAGTCGACAGTAACGATTCGTCAGTTGATGAAATATCGTTGGAACAAATCGCGGAGTCATCGTAAACTGGTTGGAAACAAATACATAAATAGCTACGGGTTTCCGACGAATTTATCGTTGATAATTTCTGACAATACCATCGTCGTAAGTAATTTGTGACGATGGTAATTTCGTTGGAAATTACCAACACGTTTCCTACAAACCTTGCGACATGATTCTAACCCTTAATATTTGTTGGAAATTTGTGATATGTTTCCAACGAATATAATTTACGACTGAAAGTTGTGAGATATTGGTTAGAAATTTTCCCATAATTTTGGTTGTCGAAACTTTTGTTGGAAATTCCATGGTTTTCTTGTAGTGTTAGGTTCTCAATCTTGGAGTTGATATCAGCCAACTTCTTGCTTGTTTTCACAACACCATATGCTTGCCCTTGGAGCAACTGTTTCAACATGGCCTTGAGCTCATGTTCAGGTGTAGGCGCATGCTGGGGTGGTTGGTGGGGAAAGCCAGGTGGTATGTACATTTGCTGACTAGGAAAAGTCCCTTGAAGGTCTTGGTAGTTGTTTTTAGGACCATAGCCATGTTGAGGGACTTGACTCAATCGAGTTTGCTGCTGTTAAGAGTAAACTTGATCATGTGGGTTGGTAACGTCAGTGTTTCTTGTATTCTTCATTTCAAATAGTTATCCTCATTATTATAATATTAGTTATCCTCATTTCAACGTCAACGAGATTGAGAAACTATATTAGTTATCCTCATTATTCTCATTTCAACAATTGAATTCCATTTCTAAATAGTTCTTCTTTTGGGAAATTTTTGAAAATCTATCTGATAGTATAATTAGATTTTCGAAAACAATGGTATAACTTTACAAGATTATATTCCATACTTCCATAGTATTCAGTTTGATAATCAAAAAATTATTTTATGTATTCCATATTATCCTCAAATCAGTAGTTAGGTTGAATTGTTGAAGTTTCAAACAGACAGATTAAGAACATCTTGAGTTTTCTCAGTATGTGTGTAATCTAAGAAAATTTGGGAAATTAAACTTGATGATCAATGCTCTATGAACTTAGAGAATAGCATTCAAGACTGGATTCCATTTAGACTAAACACAAAATTAGGTTCTATCTGTGTATAACTAAAAAAAACATTAAAAATCCGAAAATATGAAATATCATTTTGTTACCAGATCATACCAATTTTTTAAAAATCATAATTTTTATTTTTTCCATAGTTATAATTCGTATATGAGTTGGAGAAAAAACTAAAATTCTAGACTCTTTTTTTTTTTTTTTTTTTTTTTTTTTTTTGACGACAAACGGCTATTCTATTACTCAAACTCGAGTTGGTGTGGTTACCCACCCCGGAACAGAATAACCAACAAAAGATAAGGACCTAGGGTACAACCTAGCAAGCTTAGCCAGATGATCAGCTTTACTAGTTGAAGCACGAGGGAGATACGAAATAGAGAAGGAGGAGAAAAGTTTTCGTAGACTACTGAACTCCTGCAACTCCGTTGAGAACTTTGGCCAGTCCTCTGGTTTCTCGATCATCTTTAAGACGTCTTGGCAGTCAGTTGCAAAGGCTTGAACGTTGGTATACTGCGCTGCACATTCCATAGCCCACATTAATGCTTCTAATTCTGCATGAAGAGGGGAGATGCGTCGTGGTTGGTTATGGATGCCTAGTAAGCGTTGAGTTCCATCTGGATCTATCCAAATCCATCCAGCTCCGCTGTGGGCTTGTTCTCGGTGCCAAGAGCCATCGACAATACATACATCTCTCAAGCGTATGGCTTGGGTTCCCGTCGTTGAAAGAAGTGGAGCTTTAGAATTGGCTTGGTGCCAAGCTCGACATTCAGCTACTGCATGGCGAACAGTCCCTAATGGGTCTCTGTTGATTCCACGGAAGAGTTTCTCATTGCGGGCTTTCCATATGAACCATATGATCCATGGAAAGGGATCACAATCATCCTCAGCATTATCCATGTTAGGTCTTCTCCAGAATAGATAGTCCATGTTCGTGTATATCCCAGACGAGGGAAATAAGCTTGGTGGCGTAAGAATGGGGGCAAGGGCCCACGTTTGAAGAGCTGGTGGACATTCAAATATGGCGTGGTTAATCGTTTCTTCAGGAGCTCCGCAGCGAGGGCAGTGATTATCACATCTCATCCCTCTGTGATTGAGGTTTTTAGTAACCGCTAAGTAACCTGAAATGATTTGCCATAAGAGGTGCTTAATCTTGTAAGGGGCCTTGCTCTTCCAAGCTTGAACTTGTAAAGGTCGGATACTTGGTTCCGAACATGTTTCTTCTGCTGGATTGAGTAAATTTTTTGCCACCCAATACCCTGATTTTACTGTATAGAGACCGCTCTTAGTATAGCCCCAACTAAAGCTATCCATGTGGAAAGTCTTGTTGATGGCTATACTTCGTATCAGGGGAATGTCCTCTGGCTCCATATATTCTTCTAACATCTCTACATTCCATGCCTTTATCTCTCTGTTTATGAAGTCGCTAACGGTCATTCTAGGATGGACAACTGGGATCCTTGGATTTGCATGTCTAGCTGGGATAGTTGGGATCCAAGGATCCTCCCAAGCTCTAGTATTGAGTCCAGAGTGAACTTTCTGCAGGATTCCCATTGTTAGCAATGGTCTAGCCGCTAGAATACTTCTCCATCCGTACGACGGAGAGTCAGTGTGGCCAGCTCTAAGTGGTGTGCTGTAAGGGAAGTATTTTCCTCGCAAGACTCTTGCCAACAAGGAGTCCGGAAACCGTAAGAGTCTCCATAATTGCTTTGCTAACAGGGCTAGATTAAAGTCATGGATGTCTCTGAAACCTGTTCCACCCTCCTCTTTTGATATGCACATTTTATCCCAAGTTGCCCAATGAATTCCTCTTCTTTCTGCGTCAGAGCTCCACCAGAATCTTGCTATCGCACTTGTGAGCTGATCGCATACCTCCAACGGGAGTAGAAAGCTGGACATGACGTAGGTTGGAAGTGCCAGTGCTACTGATTTTATCAAAATCTCCTTCCCTCCTTTAGAAAGCCATTTTGATCTCCATCCATTTACTCTGTTTTGGAGGCGCTCCTTGATATACGCAAAGAGTTTACATTTTGATCCACTAATGTCTTCTGGGATTCCTAGATAGGTCCCCATTCCCCCTTCGTTTTGGATTCCGGTTATAGATTTGATGTGTGTTTTAGTAGATCCGGGAACCCTCTTGCCAAAGAGCAGTGAGGATTTTTCAAAGTTTATGCGTTGTCCTGAGGCTTTACCATACTTATGTAGGATGGAGAGAACTTCACTGCATTCACGGGGCTCCGCCTTGCAAAAGAACAGGCTATCGTCGGCGAAAAGAAGGTGAGATACCGGTGGACTGGCACGTGCCACTCGCATTCCAGTTATCTTACTTCCGTTTTCCGCCTCGTTTAGCAGGGCTATGAGTACTTCCGTGCATATAATGAAGATAAAAGGAGACAGAGGATCTCCTTGTCTCAGTCCTCGTTTTGGTATAATGTTACCTCGGGGCTGTCCGTTGATGAGCACATGATACGACACTGATGTAATGCATCTCATTATCCATCTAATCCATGTCTCTGCAAATCCCATCTTCCTCATAACAGCCTCAATGAAATCCCATTCAACTCGATCATAAGCTTTACTCATGTCGGTTTTTATTGCCATTCTCTTATTTCTTCCTCCGGGATTTGTCCTCAGTGCATGGAATAATTCTTGTGCGATCAAGATATTATCTGTAATTTGTCTTCCCGCGACGAAGGCCGATTGGGTCTCTGAGATGAACTTGGGGAGTATCCTTTTTAGACGTTGGCACAATAGTTTCGATATGATCTTGTAACTTACGTTACATAAGCTTATTGGTCTAAATTGACTCATTTCTTGAGGTTTCTCCTTCTTGGGTATGAGACAAATGTTCGTCTCATTGATTCCCGGTACAATGGTACCTTCCGCCAAAAACTCATTCACCATACGGGTGATGTCTTGTTTAAGGATGTCCCAGAACTTCTGATAGAACAGTGCGGTCATGCCGTCTGGACCCGGTGCCTTCTCTGGATGCATTGCAAAGAGAGCATCCTTGACTTCATTTTCTGTCACCGGTTTTGTAAGAGTCTCGTTCATGTTGTCGGTGATGACAATTTTAACCTTGTCAAGTGTTGCCTCGATCTCTACTGGATTTGATGTTTCGAAAAGACCACGGAAATATCTTGTAGCAATGGCTACAATTCCTTCTTCATTTTCTTCTCTCTGGCCTTGTTCATCAATCAAACTAGTGATACGGTTTCTTGCTCTTCTTTGTTTTGTTGCGGCGTGAAAAAATTTTGAGTTTCGGTCTCCTTCTCGTAGCCACAGCACTCTGCTTTTCTGTTTCCAGAATAGTTCTTCTGATCTCAAAGCTTCATGTAGCTCCTTCGTTGCCTCTGAAATCTCTTCAGTGGTGGCATTCCCGTCACTGTACAAGGAATCAAGCTTATCCTTAAGTTCTGTTATATGCTTTTCTGCATTGAGATCATTTTGGCTCCGCCACCTTCCGAGAGCTTTCCTTACACTTGAGATTCTGGTCATTAAGTTAGCGTCAGGTGGGAGAGAGGACGACCATCCATCTTGGACCACCGCTGAGATTTCTTCTCTGTCCAGCCATCTCCTATCAAACCGGAAAGATTTTCTCCGTCGTATAGGTTTGCTGAGAATGTTAGCAAGTACTGGCCGATGATCTGAGCCCCATAATCTTAAGTACTGAACATTTGAATGCGGGAAACTTTCGTGCCAGTCTTCGTTTCCTAATGCCCGGTCGAGTCGGCATCGCACAAGTGTGCGTCCTCTTCTTCCAACCCATGAGAGTTGGTTTCCTGAGCAAGGAAATTCTAACATTCCGCAATCATGTATCATTTGATTGAAAGGAAGGAACGATGCGTCGGGTCTTGTTCTACCTCCTTGTTTCTCATGGTGTCCACAAATTTCATTGAAATCTCCTATCATGAACCATGGTCCATTGCGATTAACTGCGAAACGCGTAAGACGTTCCCATACGAGTTCTCTTTGGTCTTGGACAGGGTCACCATAAACAAAGGTCATGAACACTTTATTTCCATCAATAACTGCTTCTACATCAATCATACGATTGTTTGAGAATATAACATTAACTTGGAATTCATCCATACATAGTAAAGCTAAACCACCGCTTAGGCCATGAGGCTCTACGGTAAACAGACTATCATAACCTAAATCAACTTGAATGCCTTGGAGCACAGATTTCTTATTCTTCGTCTCTGATAGGAATATTAAACCAGGATGATACTTTTTGTGCATCTCCTCTAGGCGTCGAACTGTGAGGTCATTCCCAATCCCTCGACAGTTCCAACTGAGCGTCCTCATGGATGTGGACTGGGTGGTTTCTGGGAAACCACCAAACCAACTTCTTGAGCAATAGAGCTTTTGGGGGCTTTAGACGTCTTACTAGAGGGGTAGAGGACACTCAAGGGAGGTACCTCCTTGGGGGCTGAGGTTGATGTGTTGTTTGGGATGCTGCGTTTACGTGGAGACCCTCGACGGAGGATTCCTGCCTTCTTCGCGAGGCTGCCTGACGGGAATAGGTTCCTAGGAAGCTTCTTTGTGGTTGCCGCTTTTTGAGATTCCTTGTGCTCTCTTGGTTCCTTTGCCCTTTAGACTTTACTTTGGCTTTGAAGGCTGTGATGGTCTCGTTGAGGCTGTCCTCATGTGAGCCACTCGGAGCGTTGGATGATTGCTTTTCCTCAGATTGCCTCTTCTCAGATTCCATCCACTCTAAGTCTTCTCCTAGAAAATCATCATCCAACAAGTCTTCATTATCTCCATTTTCCTCGTTCACTCCTTGCTCGTCATTTTCCTCATCTTGGAGAGCTCCAATCATGATGTCATCATTTGACGATTTTGGGTTTTGGTCTTCCTCCATAAGAGAAGGAAACTGGTTCTCATCAGGTGGTATGATGTGGGTGACCTCTTTGTCTGTTTGTAAGGTTATGTTTCTTCCTGCCTCACAAAGGTGAGATTGGACTTCCTCTGAGATTCCATCTTTTCTGGTTGGTTCATTCACGATGGGTGGCGCTTTGGAAAGGTGGCTCTTAAGAGGTTGTGCCTTTTCTCCTTGGGGTTCCTTATCTGTTCCTGGCCTTTTTTCCTCGATCTGATGTCCTTCCTTGATTATCCCTTCACGGTTTTCCTCTGGTCTTGTTTGATTGCGTTTGATCCACGAGGATCGATGGTCTTCTTGTTCCTTACGACGGTAAGGAACTCCGTGTGACAAGCGGTTATCCTTGGGATATGTACCCCTGTGGTTTGACTCTCTATGGTAAGAGGTGCCTCCCCGATTCTCTCTTGAAGAGTGTCTCGATCTGTGGACTAACTCCTCCCGTCGTCCATTGTCCTTGGGGTATGAGGAGCTTCGGTTTGCCTGTCGCACCAACATGTTTCTGTTAGGGATTCGTTCCTCTTCATTGTAGCTTGACCTTGGCGTTCCTTTGTTGCGTTCACTGTGGCGTTCTTCTTGACGTTCCAGATGGCGTTCGCTGTGTGTATTGGTCTGGCTCGGTCCAGCTTGAAGTCGAGAGAAAATTCCTTGGCGGGTAGACTGTCTCTGAGCATTGATTTCTTCTTCCTTAATAGGACAAGACTGGACCTCATGTGTCATGAATCCACAATGTGAGCAGAATTTGAACAGCCTGTCGTACTTGATCTGTATTGTAGCTTCGTCTCCGTTATGGCATCGGATCTTTCTTGTGAATTTCAGGGGCTTTCTACTGTCAATGGAGAGTAGTAGTTTGCCTTCATCCACATTGACTTCATGGATGTGCCCCAGCTTGTCTCCAATGCTCCTGAGGTTGGTCTCGGTCCATAGATGTAGTGGAATACCCGAGAGCTGTGTCCAGAAGGTCATCTCCCATGGGTAATCATCATGAACTATAGGTTCCCATCGGACTAGGACAAACATCCAAAAATTGTAGTGGAACGGTCCTAGCTCTAGGACTGTCTGTAAGTCCTCCTCTGTTTCAAAGTTGAAAAGAAAGTTCCTTTACCCAGATCCATGGCGGTGATTCTGTCTTCTAAGCCCCAATGTTGAGGCATAAAGCCAATCAGCTTTTCGACATCTTGTTTCTTGGGATTTAGAACCCTTCCAATGAGCGACAATCCATACTCCTGGATGAGATTGAGATTGTCTTGCTCTGGTAGCTGAATCGGTTCATCGTCGTCCTCCATAACTATGTTTTTTCCTTTGTAGTTCGCCATTGGAGACTGAACTTTCGTAAGACCTTCCAAGTGGAAGTCTTGAGCAGTCTCAGGTGAGACTTTTAGCTTCGCAGGGTCGTTTGCTGTGTTGTGGCCTCCGTTGTTGTTTATCCGATCTCTAGATCTGTCTTTGGAGAGCGTAGATCTGGTGAGATTTTGAGAGAAGGAGTAGATTTCGAGAGAGAGAGGTGGCGGATCTAGTAGTCGAGGTGAGATGTGGTAACTACGGTAGAGGATCTAGCTTAAGGAAGCTTCAAGATTTCCTGCCGATTGAGACTTTAAGGTCGCCGCCGCTCTCGAGAGAAACTAGGATTTCCATTGCTTTAAAGAAGATTCGTTGGATTGATAAACAACTTAAAATACTAATAATCTAATATTTGTTTTTTTTCTTCTAGAAAATATATGTATGCTTCTGAAAAGAAAAAAATCATCCAAATTTTGTGTTTACAAAATATGCATACATTAACGAAACTCCCGTTCTTAAGGAATGAGATTTACCGTTATATAATTCTCCAAATTTGATATTCCAACATTTGAACCAAAGCTGCAATTTCTATTGGATATTTAGAAAAATCTTTAAATGTTGTATTTCATCATTCCTTAAAATCAAAATAGGGAATGAAAAATCCATTTTTAGAGTGATATTCATAGACTGATTAATGTTCTCGGTTCACAAGATTCATCTCTCATTGGTATTCCATCTGATTAAGTAAATTCTCTTCAAAAATCTCCAAAACTATAGTTAAATGCCTCAATCTGCTATGCTATGCTGGAGCTGAATACTAGTATATCATCAAAAAATACTAGCACAAAACTTCACAAGAATGGTCTAAATAATTCATTCATCAATGCTTAAAAAGTTGCATGAACATTTGTCAACCCAAATGGCATCACCAAAAATTCATAGTAACCATTTGTTGTTCTAAATGTTGTTTTTTCTATATTTGCATCCATCATCCGAATCTGGTGATATCCAGTTCGTAAATCCAATTTTGAAAACACTTCTAGAAATTTATCAATTAGTGGTATTAGAAATTTATCCGGTATATTGACTTTGTTTAAAGCTCTGTAGGCTATACAAAACCTCCACCTTCCATCCTTCTTTTTAACCAGCAAAACAAGACTCAAGAATGGGCTTTTGTTTGGTCAGATTGTTTCTGCTTCCAACATTTGAGCTACTCATTTTTCCATTTCCTCCTAATAGGTGTGAGGATATCTATATCGATATCGATTTGGCTCTTAGTATTAGTTCCAACTATAATATTCTAGCCAAAGAATCTAGAAGATGAAGTTTTCTATATCCATCCATCTAATCATATACAACAAAATATTGTATAAAATCTATCTAATATCAATGATGGAGGTGCCCTAAGATTTTAGGTTGCATGTAGAAAATCTAAAATCGTTATTTGGAAATTGAGAGTTGAGACCCAAAAATAATCGTGCTTTGACTTTTAAACACGTCCGCGATATTTTCAGTATTTGACGTGACACGTCTGATTTTTGTCCAATTAGTCTCGACTCTCGAGCTTTCTCAAGGCTTTAAAATCCTAAATAACAATCCAATAATATACGACCACATAGACACTGCACGTCTCTCTACCCAATCAGAGTTTGGCTGTGACGGTGCACGTTGTGAGAATAGCAAGACTGGTCCCTTTTTAGGTGGTGAAACACAGAGATTGAAACGGGGAAGACAAAGTTGGAAAATAGGAAAAACTGTTATTCGGCTCGCGATCGTCATTTCAATTCCCATCAAGCGTTTCTCTCCTCCGGCGTAATCATGGTATGGCTTTTTTTTCCGATTGGATCTGATTAGTATGTGGGGTCTTTTTGAGGATTTTATCATCTCATGAGCTATAAATCAAGGATTTACTCTGTGATTTAATATCGATTCATGGGAAATTTTGCATCCTGCAAAAAAATTGATCTCTTAACTAATAACTAATCAATTAGAATAGATAAAACCGAAATCATGACAAATGTGGATCTGTATTCGAATTTGAGTCTGATTAGCTGAGTTCTTATCTGCATTATGTGTATTGTTGCTTGATTTAGATGCATGCCCAAATGTTTTAATTTTGTGTGCATAAATACATGAATCGGCACCCAAATTTGATCTTTTGTTGACTGGGATTGATTTGATAATTGCAAATTGCAGACAACTTCAAAGAGACTAGCAGACAGGAAGATAGAGAAGTTTGACAAGAACATATTAAAGAGAGGTTTTGTTCCTGAGACCACCACCAAGAAGGGCAAGGATTACCCTGTTGGACCCATCCTTCTCGGCTTCTTCGTCTTCGTTGTCATTGGCTCATGTGAGTAACACACTTCTACTTCTAGTCTCTTAACTTTAGGTAGTTAAAGTTGCTCTATGGTTAGGGCACCAAATTAGTTAGGCTTCGTGCTTCTTGATTATGTCGGAAGCAATCAACTGCAGACTTTGGTTCCAAATTGGTGTTGGTTTCTACGTTTTCTGTTTTATACGTCACCGAACCATAATCTGCAATCAGAATCAAATGATTATACAAAGTGCATGTGTATGTTTATATATTTATTAACCTTGTATATGCTTTGTCACAGCTCTCTTCCAAATCATCAGGACGGCAACTAGCGGAGGCATGGCATAAATAAGAAGAATCAAATTCAAGCTCGAAGAAGAAGAAGCATCTCTTCCTCTTGCTTGTCTCTTTTTTTCTCTCCTTACACTGTAGAATGCGCCAACTTTCTGTTTACTACATGTTAATTAATGTTATCACGAATATTTTCTTTAAGTTAATTATATCCAACGTTTAAGTTAATCTGTTATGCATTTTGTTCTCTTCTTCTTCCACACACAGACACCAAAATGGCAAACACAAGAAGAGTTGAACAGTTTCCACTCACACAAGCTAAGTATCTTTATTACAACACAAATGTATTTGTATATTACAGTCCCGAAAGAAAGAAACAAAAACCAAAATCAAACAAGAGAAACAACAAACCAACCGCGTGAAACTGAAGAAATATTTTATCTCAAGCCCTAGCCGTAGGAGAGGGATGAAACGCAGTCCCGCAAGCGATCCAAAGCCGTTTCCTGCCACGAGGAACGGTGCAGCCAGGGACCTTGCTCCATTCCCTAGTAACAGCGTTGTAGGTAACCAGACGATTCATCTGTCTGGACCTCAAGGACAAGAAAACCAGACAAGCCTTGTTGCCCAGACAATTCATCCTAATGTGCTTTCCGTAAAACTCCAAGCACCATATGTTTGGCATTCTGTCAACCTCCTTCCACAAGAGCGTCATCTTCTGCAGCTCCCATATGCACACGCACGTGGCAGCGTTCTTGCTCACAAGACCCACCAGCAGCAACCGCTCTCCGCACTCCGCCAGCGTGTGATCACTCAGGTGCGGTGGCCCCGGTATGATCGACTGCTTCCACTTCCCTGACACCATGTCGTACGACAATATCCCTTCCGGGTCTGTCAACATGAAGTAGAGCGTGCTCCCTATCGCCACCGGCTGCGACTTGAAGTTGAGCAGCACCGGAAGCTTTATGCTCGACGGGATGGTCCCACGTTTGGTCCACACGTTTCTTAAAGAATCATACACTTCGTACTCTCCTTCACACCCAACCCACAGAACCTTGTATCCATGACTTCCGTTCAGTGTCATCCCTACCGCAACACGAGACCAGACCTTAAACGACCTAGCGGGCAGTTCTCTGAAAGACTTGGTCAACGGGTTGCTCACGTAGAAGTTACGGTGACCAATGTCGAGGAAGCAGACAAGACCTCCCGCGGAAGCCATTGGCAGAACTATACTCTTCTTGGGCAGTGCAGGGATGATGGGGTGGTGCCATTTCTTCGAACAAGGGTCGTAGACTTGTCCCGAGTTTACGTTCTCGTGTGTTATGGTGTAGAACCATGGGATGGTTTGTGGAAGCTCGGTGAAGCATCGGGAGAAGCTGTCTGAGTCGATGAGAGCGTTCCAGTTGCGGCAAACCGCTCGGAACTGGAAGAATGTAGCGATTGGTAATCTGGAGACGACGGCTTCGAAGAGATCTTGTGGAAAGTCTTGCCAGATTTCTTGATCCATGTTTCCAGTAATGCCATCGTTTTCTTGGTTCCGTTGTTGTTGTTTTCGAGATCGCTTGAGAGGTTGTTGTTGCTTGACGGTTTCTAACATGTTGAAGATCTTAGGCCTCTTTCCAGCAGCCATTACTATGTCACAACAATCATCACCAGAGGTTTCCTCAATACAGGGCAAACACCATCTGATATTACAGAGAGAAATATGTGTCAGGACAAAAAGACGCCTTATCCTTATTCTATAGAATGAAATGATTACAGACTTGCCCTCAAAATACATGTACCACCAGAGCAAAAAAAGAGACAAGTCAGAATAAACCTTTCTCTGGTCCAAGCACTGGAAAAACACTAAACATGTTTCTACTTAATTCAAGAAAAGTGATAAAGAAACAAATACAGTTAAATGTTTCTAGCATTGAAATAAAACATACACAAAGGGAAGGCCTCAAGTCAGAATTCACAGTAATCACCAGCAGATTCGATGAAATGACACAGGCTAGAGGAAGGATTTGGGGGCGGAATTGAATAATATGACTTGCAGTTTTTATAATCAAATTGGCAAAAAGATGCCTTGAAGTGACGATTATCGGAATCAATTTTCTCTTTCAGCTAATTTTAAAAGCAAAAGGAATAAACAGGGAGAGAGATCGCATCATGATTCTAAGGAGCAATCGGAAAAAGACCTGAACGAAACACATTACAAGTTTGCAAATTGCCCCAATTTTGCAAAATGGAATTGAAAGCACCTGCGAATAGATCTAGCCAGAGAGAGAGAGAGAGAGACTCACCGGTTCTGATAGTGAGGGTTGTGGAGGACTAAGAAGGAGGGAGAAGAGGAGGAGTGAGGTGAAGGAGGAGGAGGAGAGCGGTTGTGCAAGAGCTCTTGAAGCTGGCCGATGAGCTGTCTGAGCATGGCAAGCTCTTCTTCCATGCCCCGACAAAGAGACAATAGAGAGAGAGAGAGCGTTCAGAGAGAGAGGGAGAGAGAGAGAAATCAATGGCAGTCAGGTGCAGAAGCAGCCATTAGCAGCGATTTGAGGGCGAAGAAGAAGAAACAAAACAAAACAAAAATTGAAGAATTTTCGGAAATTAAACTTAACCTCCCACCATCTCCGCCTCTCTCTCTTGTCTCTTTAAAACCATTCTCTTCTTTCTTCTTTTCTTCTTTCTTCTTTCGTCTCTGTCTTTGTGTATTGTCTTTTTCTCTCTCTTTTGCTTCATCTTTTTCCTTGTCAGTTGGCCCCATATGATTATTTCTTCGCAATTATTCCATTTTCTCTTCTCCGTTTCCTCTTTTGCCCCTCCTTTTTTATTCCCCTAACTTTATTCTTCTGTACGTTTTTTTTTTTTTTTTTTTTTATCACAAAATTCTTCTACCAAATAAATCCTAGTAAACAAAAATGAAATTCTATATGCAGATAATCGTACTGTGCAATGTGCTAAGAAAGAGTTAGCAAACGAATGTCTTTAATGGAGACTGGATTTTGTGCCATGGTTAGGAAAAAAGACTGCAAATGACTTGATTTCAAAAAGTTTAATTATTTGTGGCAAGAAAGTCACTGAATGTATGTGCAAGTTCAAAAGAAAGGAATGTAATTAATTACATGTGCATAATTTGCCTGGTTTGTCTTTTTCTTTAGGTGTAATAATTAAGTTTTCAAAATCATTCCACGGAGAATGTAAAGTAGTCGTAAAGCGTGGGGGTTCATTTTTGTCATCCCATCAATTTGCTTTGATCAATCATGTCACTTCCATTTAACTTAGCAATTACCAATATATTAAAGAAAAATGATGATGATCACTCATCATAACCTCTTAGTGTTTCCTTTTCTCCAACTATTTCTTACTTATATACACGGTCCAACTGATATAAAGCGGTAAAAACCAAATTACCAGTTAAGGATAACACTAAGAGATGGCGATACAGTTTAACTTGATTCATATATTTTGTCCGAATTTCTCTTCATATTTACTTCACCGATCAGGAGGAAATTGGCCTCGCAGCGGGAAATAGTTTAAACCGTATTTGCAATTGGTACCACATATGACTAACCAAGTCAGCAAGAACACAGATGCATAACAACAATGACAAGTAACTTAAAAGACGATAATATTAAAGGTTGGATAAGTTAAGAAAAGAGCCTCAAAATTCTTGATAACATGTGTAGTAAACAGAAAGTTGACGCATTCTACAGTATAAGGAGAGAAAAAGAGACAACAAGCCAGAGGAACATATATTCATTTTGAAAAATGGCTTCTTCTTCTTCGAGCTTGGATTTGATTCTTCTGATTTATGCCATGCCTCCGCTAGTTGCCGTCCTGATGATCTGGAAGAGAGCTGTGACAAAGCAGCATATTAGAAGGTTAATACATAAACATACACATACACTTAGTATAAATAAGCAAATGATTCTGATTCCAGATCATGGTTCGTTACTACTGGTGATGTATAAAAGTGGAAATCCTACGCACATAGAGATGAAAATGTAGAACCGGCAACAATATGGAAACCAAAGTCAACACTTGGATGCTTCCGACATAATCAAGAAGCACGGAGCCTAACTAAAAGAAGATATTTGGTGGTGCCCTCAACAAATATTTCAGCTTTTACCAAATAAAGTAAAGAGACTGGAATGAATACTCACATGAGCCAATGACAACGAAGACGAAGAAGCCGAGAAGGATGGGTCCGACAGGGTAATCCTTGCCCTTCTTGGTGGTGGTCTCAGGAACAAAACCTCTCTTTAATATGTTCTTGTCAAACTTCTCTATCTTCCTGTCTGCTAGTCTCTTTGAAGTTGTCTGCAATTTGCATTTATCCGAAACAAACCAGTCAATAATCATTATATTACACATTGCTCAATTAGATCGTGAAAACATTCATTATTTCTGGATCAAGCAATTTCGAATGAACAAAAAACGTCCAATTTTGACTACCGATTACCACGCTCAAAAGAGAAATTGGGCTAAGGCCAGGTAAGATCTGGGCATGCAACTAAACATCAATGCAGATAAGAACTCAGCTAATCCTACTCAAATTTCGAAAACAGATCCACATTTGTTTTTTTTTTCCAATTGACTAAGAGATCAGTTTTTTTTTGGCATGATGCGAAATTCACCATGATTCAATTTTCAAAACACAAAGTAAATCCTTGAGATATATAGCTCACGAGACGATACAATCCTCAAACAATATCACACATACTAAATCAGATCGGAGGTGCAAAAGCAAAAGAAATCTATGATCCAATCGACAAAACAAACCATAACAATGGTTATCGGCAAAGATCGAGGGATTTACCATGATTACGCCGGAGAAGAAACACTTGCTGGGAAATTCGAATTGACGATTGCGAGCCGAAGAACAAACCTCTCTCCTTGTCTTAGCGTTTTCAAACTTATGTCTTGCTCTTTTCAAAATCCGTCTTAAAAGGGATCGGTAAATGTAACTCACCGCGTACGTCGCTCGTCACACCATTCTATCATTGGATACCGAGACGTGTGAGATCTACGTGGCGTTCGCTGATTGGATTTCTATTATTGGGCTTTGAAATGATGTGGACAAAATTCAGAGACCAAGAGTCGATCAATCTGAAAAATGTAAAACACTCGCGGACGTGTTTCAAAGTCAACAACTACTTGTAATTTTCTTACTGTAAAGCATTTTATATGTAACACGTTCGTATAAAGCTTGGTGTAGCAGTAGTACACAAAACAACAACACAAAATTCTCGATTTTACTTGTGCTTTCAGACTTGAAATAAAATAAAGTTTTCACCTGTATTATCATCCCACATGTACATTCGTTGACATAACCAACCATTTGAAGTGTAAAGAAGAGAAGACAAAGTAAAAAGCTATCTTCCACTTTATATCACAAGCTGAAGCACTATGTATATAAGTAATGTCCACTCCCTATCTTCGGACGATGGGTAAGTAATGAAGAAGCTGCACTGTTCTAATACCAAGGAATCCTAAATCATTCACACACATACACTGATACTGATACACACATACTACTATGCTCTCTTTTCCCTGTCCAAAGCAACTCATCTACAAACCACAAGTTTTTGGTGTCTCAATCAGACAAGAGAAAGAGAAAACTTTACAGTGGAAACGGGTCTAAGTCCTTGGCCATACCAGCCTTTCTATATACACTCTTTTGCAATCGTCAATCTGTTTTTTTCTTTTTTTCCTACAATCAAGTTCAAGAAATGGCATTATTCACAGTCAAGAAAACCTTTTAGATGTGGAAGACATATATGTATGGGGCTTACTACTTAAAAGATGCAGAGGAGACACGAGTATTTGTGTTCCTTGATCATGACTCTGTATCTGAAGGTGAATTGAAGAAGCGAGAGACTTCCCGATAGAGCTGCTCTGCTTCAAAGGGTTTTGACACATAGCCATCCATTCCACACTTTAGACATTCCTCATGCGTCGCTTGAATCACGTCTGCGGTCATTGCTAATACCGGGAGATGCCACCTTGCTTTGCTGCTGTCCGTTCTCTTGTTCATCTCCTCTTCCATCTCCCTTATTCTCCTCGTCGCCTCAAACCTGCAGGAATCAACACATGTCAAGTTTCTATACAAGACTTTCACAAAAAAACTGTAGTTAGTATAACCATTAACCATCAGACATACCCATCCATTTCTGGCATCTGAATGTCCATGAAGCAAGCATCGAACTCGTGGGGTGGCTTAAGCAACGAGATTGCCTTTACCCCGCTCTCTGAACACACCACGTCAGCTCCATACTTTTTCAGAGCTCCTGCTGCCACTCTCAGGTTTACATTGTTGTCGTCCACGATTAATATCTTCCTGCCAAGGAGAAGATTCCTCAGAACCAAAGCAGGAGGTCCTCTGTGTTGAGGAGTTTCCCTGTTCCCAATACCCAACCCCCTCTGTAAAGTCGCTGCCAACATACTCGCCCTCAATGGTTTCACTATCACCATTGGAGGATCTACACCGCTGCTTAAAGTATCTGACACTGACGTCTCTATTGAGTTTGCTAACAGAATCAACTTAGGAGAACGGACTAGAGGGTCTTTCTGTAGCTTCTTAATGAACGCATCTGCTTCCCTATTCCATATTTCTTGCTCTATGAGTATCATATTCACAGCGGTAGTCCCATTCTTCATAAACCGCAGAGCCTGGTCAACACGTGGAACTACTTCCACTCGGATCCCAAGGCGCTGGAAATGGTACCACGAGACTTGCGCCCTGGCAGGCCTGTGGTCCACAACCACAGCTTTCATGCCCTGAAACTCCGAGAACATGGGCTGGTTGTTGCTCTGCGGGTCGCTCTTTCTTTCAGCTGTGTGCATACCATTGGCGAACACAGCAGTGAATGTGAACGTCGACCCGACCTTGGGAGTGCTCGAGAATCCAATCTCTCCTTTCATCAGTCCAACCAGACATTTGCTTATGCTGAGACCGATTCCTGTGCCTCCATGCGTCCTGGATATCGATGGTCCAACTTGCATGAAAGGTGTGAAGATACGGGACTGCGCTTCTAAAGGGATCCCTACGCCAGTATCCTCAACTGAGACGATTAGGTTTATATCAGATGGAAAGCTCTGATGCCCACTGGAGCTGAAAGCTTTAAAGTTTTCCCAGCTCCTCTTCCGTTCTGCAACTGGAAGCCCGCTCAGTGTACTTTCCGGAGATGATGATGCTGTCTCTGCATCAATGGAGTCTAATAGCTCCTCCACCAAATGAACAGTTACAAAGATGTGTCCTTTCTCAGTGAACTGTAGCAAAACAAAATCAGCTCCTCTTATCAGTCAACTAGGATGCAAGAAATGATTAGCAAAGATGTAACAACAATACAATTTACCTTAATGGAATTACCCATAAGATTTGTGAGTATTTGTCGAAACCTCCCAGGATCACCAATCAACATTTCAGGAACACGATCAGATATGTATACTGCCAACTGCATATACATCAGCAACACTCGAGAAATCAGTAAGAAAAACTTGATACCTCTACTTTGCCTTTGCTTTTGCAAATCATAAAGAGCATGTCGTTGTAAGTTACCTCAACTCCTTTTTGTTGTGACTTGCCAGAGAAGAGTGAGAGGACATCATCTAATATTCCTCTCAAATCAAAACGCACCTCCTCAAGCTCAAGCTTTCCAGATTCAATCTTTGCTTGGTCCAAAACCTCGTTTATTAGCGAGACTAGAGCTTTGCCACTTGCCTGTGCGGTCCTAACATAATCCTGTTGCGTGACATCTAGCTCTGTGTCCATAAGCATATGCAACATTCCTGCAAAGCCAAACCAAAGTCAACATGAGATCAAAATTTCAAGATATTTGGTCCAGTTTGTTCTTGAGAAAATATGTGCATTCATGGAACAGTGGCCATTTTGATACTCACCAAGAACACCATTCATTGGAGTTCTGATTTCATGTGACACAGTTGCAAGGAACTGCAAAAATGTAAAAATTAAAAACAATGTTAAGATCACAAACCTTCCCTCTAACATAGAAAGCTAGCTTAATATACTGTGGAATACTATAGAGTGAGGATGATGATGTATGAACCTGCGACTTTGCAACATCCGCTGCTTCAGCCTTTTTCTTGAGCCTCTCCATTTTATTACAATCTTCTTCAACTTTGTTTATCCGACTCACGGTCGCATGGAATATATGTGCAACAAGCAGTGCAATCACAAGGATTCCAAAAGATGTCACCATTGATAGAACCGGCCAAGGTGGTTTCTGCTTAAATCTACAAAGAAGAAAAAGAAGCTCACAACAGAATGTTAGCACCTGGATCCTTGCAAACAGGATACCAAAAAATAGCAGACATTCTGAATTTACCTGCAACGCATTTCATGCTTTCTAAAAGGATCGCCAAAATTCAGTGGACTAATGAGTTCCAACCCATCAGCCGACACATTTGAACCATACATGCTAATTGGTTGAGAGTGATTGGTAGTATCGTATACATTGACAAGAATCGTTTGCTTGCTCGCCAGCTGGTGCAGCAAATTTTCCACCAGGGACTCAATGTCAAACACTCCACCAAGATACCTTCAGGGGCATCAAAAGAGACCAATGAGCAAAAATGATATCAAGCTCCAATTATTTATTTAGACGCCTATGCTACATACACACCCATTAGTCGCCTCGATTCTCTCTCTCGGCGTTGCATTGGAGGGGAGATCTCTCTTGTAGACAGCAAAAGTCAAGATCACTCCAAGTCTATTTGTCTTTATCAATGGGAAAGGAGCTGTCAAAACCCCTTTACCTGATTTCCTGGCCCGCAATACGTTTTCACGATCTTCCTGTCAAGAAGAAACTGAGTGTTAAGGAATTGCTCTAAACTATATCACAGCCACTTCGCCATCAACTAAGCAAAAGGGCTTACTTTCCCAGACAGCATGTCGAGAGAAACCACATGGGAAACCGTGTCCTGAGCAAAGATGACTGGAGCATACTCCTCTTGAACAGGGGATGGTTCCAAGGCTTCAGGGTCATAATCATCCTTGTGGACTGGTTTTTGTTCAAGAGAATCCATCCTCCTAATAGTCCAACCTTGTTGCCTCTCAAACTCTTCCCTCTCTGAATGGAGCACCCTCATTGCATATGCGACCCCGCTCGTGAGTGGCCTCTCGAACGAAGTTCTATCAGTGTACTCTGAGAATGTCCTCTACACAAAGCTTCTTCATGTTAGTATATTTCTCTTCATTACTACTCAAAGAATATATGAAACAAGCTACCAAGTTCTACCAGCAAAGACTAGATCTCAGCCATCAGTCAAAACTCCGAGAGTTTCATATCATAACACAATCCTAAAAGATTGCAAGACAAGAAGTTCTACTCTGAGAATGCCCTCTACGCTAAGCTTCTTGATGTTAAGAAACAGTTCACTAGTACTCAAGAAGATATGAAACAAGCTACAAACTGTGACTACTCTGAGAGAAATATCAAAGGATCGATCAAAGAATACCTGATCGATAGCAGAAGGAATCTTGCCGTGATGGAAGGTGGAGATCAAGATAGACATGGCTTGCACATGATTCATGCTAACGTTGAACTGATCCTGCAGCATCCGGGCTCTCTCGTCGCACATACTAGCCAGCGTTTCTTTCCTCTTCTCCATAGCTTGAGAGCTGAAGTACCAGAAGGTCCAGAAAGACACCAAGACCCAGAAGACGACCCACGCCACCACCACCTTCCTCCACCACGTCTTCCCGAACCTAACGGAGCCAAGAAAGTGGTGAGAGAAACTCGGGATCTTGAAGATCTTGCTCCAGAAACACAGCTTGCTCTTCTTCTTCATCGTCGTCGTCATCTTCGTCTTCTCAGGTGGTGATGGATCACCGACAGAGCCAATCAGAAGACCAGGCTTGTCCTCAATTCCACCATCAATAAACCAGGAAACGAACCAGCAGCATAGCATCCACAAGAGCTGCCCAATCTTCACCCCAAACCCTAGCACGTGGAACAGACTCATCCACCACTTGGAACACACACCGATCAAACCCCAAGAAACAGAGTGATTGCAGCCAGCTTAATATTCAACAGCAAGGGTCAGAATCACCAAAACAAAACCCTGTACAAAAGGGGACACAAATCACAAAAATCCGAGCAAGAGTTTTGGGTTTATCCTTGAAGCCACCCACAAGCGAGAAAAGTAAAAGAAACCAAGACACAGGGACGTGTCAAATTAGACTACCCAAAGGCTTCAAATTGAGAGATCAGCGCCTTACTTAATCAAAGATGACGACAGATATGAGAAACAGAAAAAAAAGAAGGAAAAAAAAGGGAGAAACTTGAACAGGAACTTAAAGTTCCAAAGCGAGATTCCTCGAAATCCGAAACAGGAAACAGAAATTCTATAGGGTTGTACGTGAATTCGCTCGAGTTTGCTCCAGTACAACAGAAATTTGAGTGTGATGCTGATGATGATGATGATGAGAGAAAGAGGGAGAGAGCAAATAAAAGCAGCGTGAAAGCGAGAAAGTGAAAAGGAGCTGTAAGGCTTCAGTGGATATCTAATGGAGGAACTAAGAATTAGGAGGAGGAGAAGAAGAAGAATCTATCATCGGAAAAGATGAGAAGAATATGGTGGAAGACAAATGTCTGCTTCCTCTCTCTCTCTCTCTCTCTCTCTCTCTGTTATCTGATTATCTTTCTATTTCTTTTTCATACTTCCTACAAAAATTATTATAATCTTAAGCATACATTCTAAAATTAAATCTTGATATCCAGTGATGCTGTTAATATTCAATATGGGATTGTGTATAGATTGATTTTTGTGTAAAAACAGTTTTTCAGAGTTTGTTACTCTACTGAAATCATCTTCCTTTTTTTTTTCTTTTCTTTTTAAATACTTACTTTAAATACAGCATAAACATAATACAAATCAAATGATTGGAAAATTAACTTACCATATATATTAAAAACTAAAAACTAAACGGCCGCAGCAGAAGATAAAAGAAATAAATAAATTAGGAAAAAGGTAAAGGGGGGCCCACTTGGAGAGGAACAAAGGCATATAGAGGGAGTATATGGTCTCACTTCTCACCCTCCAATAATAAAAATAAAATACTCAATAAATAAAAGGCGTGTTAGAATTTATTATGAGATGGTGTGCAGTAGTTGGTAAAGTGAAAAATGTTTGGCCAATTATCAAAACTAAAATACACACAAAAAAAGTAAGAACTAACCAAGCCCCAAATAAAAAAACCTCAAGCTCTGCCTCTTATTGATTAGTCAAATAAACCCGATTGTTTCAATATACACCTCTTTTTTTTTTATAAAACAAATGTCAGAAACAAAATAAAAAATGCCTGTTTTCTGACACGTCACCTGTGTAACACGTATCAATATTTGAAGGGATATACTTTTTTTTTTTTATAATTATTTGCAATTGCTTACAGTTTTATTTTTTTTTCATAAAAGGTTGCTTGAACTGAAGAAAACAAAAATGAAAATTGGCAAATTTATCCAATTATAAAATATTTTTATCCAAAATGACCAAACGCCAAATCTAACTTTTATCCGTTCAGATAATGACTATTTTTTCCGGTATCCATATTATCCAACTGGTTTCTAAAAAATACATTTTATGTAGTAATTTTTGATATTTACAATATTCTTATTCAATTTGTATACCCGGTTTTTTAATCGAAATCAGAACACACGAGAGTGAAATGGTAACAAGAGTTCTCTGGTAACAATTATACCTTTTCTAATCTAAAATCAGAAAAGCTTAGCTGGTTCAATCAATAAGCTAGAGTCACGGGTTAATGTCGGTTTTGCCAGCTTTTACTGATTCGTTTTTGGGTTTTAGCACTGGACCCCAAGGACCGGAACATGTGTTTACCGGTCCAATGCGTGCGTAATCTCCCAAATATAAATGGGCCTACACATCATAAGATAATAGGCCCATTTAAGAATATCGTGAGACCTCCATTTTTCAGTATCTGTTGTCACTGGTCTATTGGTAATTTTCAGTTTTATCTCACCCTCTCGCTCTCTCTCTCTCTTTCTCTCTCTACTCTGAAAGCACGACGCAAGAGAGAGAAAGGATCATCGGAAGACGACGATAAGAGATGGATCCAGACGCAGTTGCCAAGGCTTTCGTGGAGCACTACTACAGCACCTTCGATGCGAATCGCACAGGGTTGGTTTCTCTCTACCAGGAAGGATCCATGTTGACCTTCGAAGGCCAGAAGATCCAGGGCTCTCAGAACATCGTCGCTAAGCTCACCAGCCTCCCGTTCCAGCAGTGCAAGCACAACATCACCACCGTCGATTGCCAGCCGTCTGGTCCCGCCGGCGGTATGCTCGTCTTCGTCTCCGGGAATCTTCAGCTCGCTGGCGAACAGCACGCTCTCAAGTTCAGCCAGGTTTTTCCCAAATCTCCTTCCCTCGACTTTGATTTCAGCATTTTCCCTTCTTCCTGGTTGTCGATCATGTTACGATAGGGTCTTAGGGGGTTTTTTTTCCCGTGATTTTCTATAGATTGATATGCTCTTAGGTCAATAGAAGCTTGAACGATCTCGAAATTTCAACCATCCCTGATGAATTTAGCGATAGATCCGCGAGCTGGTTAAAATTAAAGACGTATTTCCCCATTGATTGCGTAGATGTAATCCCTAATTCTTGCATTTACGTTTCGTCTCTCTATATCCTTCTGTTTCGTGAATGCAGCATTGTCAACTATGCTTATATGTGATCTTGCAGTCATGATCTTACAACATCCGATTATATTCTCTCAATTCTGTATGGATCGTGTTTGTTTCTGTGTTCCTTGTGGTGCGTGTGTCTATATAATGTTGAAGACTCTTTACTAGATTTGCTCCTTAGAAGCCAGTTGATATGTTTGCTTCGTCGAGCCTTAGTTCTTCATTTCAAGATACCACTTGAATCTTTGTTATCATTTGTGTGTGTACATCAAAACTAGTGGAATATAAATGGTAGATTTGCAGTAATGTTGAAGACTACTCTTAACTAGATTTGCTCCTTAGGAAGCCAATTGATATGTTTGCTGCGTCGAGTCTTAGTTCTTCATTTCAAGATACTACTTGAATCTTTGTAATCATTTTTGTGTGAACAACAAACTAGTGGAATGTAAATGTTAGATATGCGTTGAGCCGGTTAGGATGAATTTATGTGAGCTTGACCTAGTCAGAATGAGGTAGATATGCATCTGGGTTGCGAATCAATCACGCACTGGATATTATTGCTTTCCCTAAATAAAAGTAACACATTTCTTGTGGGTCTGCATGCTGGTTCGGTATAAAATTCTGACATAGTGTCTTATGTTTGTGCACAGATGTTCCATTTAGTATCGAATCAGGGAAACTACTACGTGTTCAATGATATATTCAGGTTGAACTATGCCTGAGGAATCTGGTGATGGTGGCACAGGGGTATATGAACCATTTCTACAAGGGACTGATGGAAATTTGGGGTTATTCATGTTGGTTTTTAGATTTGATACTGAAGCTTGTTTCAGGTGGTTTGCTGTGTGTTTTTAACTTTTAATCAATGGAGGTTTTTGTTACTCTGGTTCTGATGACTCCGTTTGTTTTCGGGCATGTTTATTAAGGATAATATTTGAAATATGGTTCTCCTTTGGAACCCATTTTCATGTGGAAAAGCTTGTGATTCTTTTCCTTTCTCATGGTATAAAAAGTTCACTACCTATACTGAAAGTAAGAAAAGAAAATAATGAGGATCTAAAACAGGATTACAATCTTTTTTATCAAACTATGACGAAAGAAAGCTATCATTCTTCATCGTCTTCGAAACCAAATTCTCGCAACAGCTCGGGCACTTGGATACGAACTCCAGTGTTTGTTCTATTCCCATTGTGATGCTTGTTTTCGTCCTTGGAATGGGAAGTCCCAGGAATCGCAGTAAGCTGGTCCTTGATTGGAGGTATCTTACCTTTGAAGATACCAGAAAACATACCTCCGATTGATCTGATTGGATGGCTTATTCTATCTTTCAACATGTAAATCATCGAGTATTCAGAGAGCTGCCATGTCAGTGTCAAAAGGATCAAAGCAGAGAGCAGTACATGTGTTACTGTGTTCTGCTTCTTCACTTTCTTCATGTCTTTAGCTATCTCTTCTATACTCTCTTCCAAATCTGTCTGGCCCTCACGTTTTCCTTTGGATGCTGAAGATTCTGGTGATTCTTCTTCTTCTTCTTCTTGTTTGGTGATCCCATCTGATTCTTCTTCTTCTTCTTCCTTGGTTATCCCATTTGATTTGCTCTTCGGCTTCGGTGATTCCAACTAAGGTAGAAACAAAAATTAGCATCAGCCCTGAAAATGGGAATAAGACATTGGCATATCCCCAATACAGAGAAGGTTGTTGACATGAAACATCAACTTGTCAAAACAAACTTGCTTCATGATAATGGCTTTGTTTACCACAATAATTTGAAAAGATAAGCTCACTGTCACGTCGCCAAGACCCAAGTTGTTCAAATAAATATAAGGAGACACTGACAAAAAAAACCCTGTTCATCTACTTTTTAATGATCCAACCACAATGAATCAGAGCTTCGTTGCGACAAAGACTGTGCCAATTTGACAAGCCTGTATTTGTTCGATTCATGAACAGATCAGGCGAAGCGGATTTCACAAAATCAAAAGAACAATTAGAGAGACTCGTTAAATTTTCTCAAAAGTCAATGATTCAAACATGATATTCAATCTTGTACCCAGAAACGTTGATTGGGGGAAAACACCAGATCAATCAACAAAAGGATTTCCCAGTGATGAGAAAGAAAGGTACCTGAGAGATGAGTCTAGAGAGCAAAAGCTGATCGTCGTCGTCTTCGATGAAGGCATCACCAGCAGCTTCTCTCTTCCTCTTCTCATCCAGAAGCTTCTCGATGGCTTTGCTCAGAACCTCCACATCCTCACTCGACTCCATTTCACAAACTCTTCTCTTCTCCAAGCTCTCCGCCGCTGTCTCTCTCTCTCTCTCTCTTTCACACTCGAGAGATGTTTGTTGCTTATACTTCTCTATTATTTAGGCAGTCTTAAGTTAGTACCGGACACGTAACATCTATTGACCGCTTCTTGTCTACTCACGGCACCTCCACCATTTTTTCCTATCTTGACATTGAGATGGGCAATTCGATTTTTACTTTCTGTTCCGTTCCAATAAAAGTAGATACCGTATCGCACCAAAAACCTAAACCTCTTTTTCACCCAAAAATCTGAGAAACGTTGTTTTGTTTGCTTCTTAAGTTAGAAAAACAAAATTTATCGATGACAGAAGCAGGAATTGGTGCGATGATGAGTCTCGGAATCCTAAAATATTTGTATGCTTTAAAGGTATCATGTTACATAAATAACTTGAAAGCACGAATCAAGAAGGCTTCTCTAATCTCTAACAGTAAAATAGAAAATATGTTTCCGAAAGTAAAAAATACATAAAAACTCCCGATATCCACATGATTTTTCCCCACCCCCAAATACAGATAAGAACATAGAGAACAAAAACTCTATTGGATTGTGTTTATAATTAATCCATCTTTTTTTGTTTGTTCTTGCTTCCAGAATGATAAGAGCTTTGAAATTTGTTGCTTCTCTCACTTCACAAAAGCTTCCATTCTGCGATTTTGTCAAAACCAACATTTTAATCACTACACATGCACATTGAATCGGCTTCAAACCAAAAAATGAAAAACCATTTTGATTTTAGAAGAGGTCAACCACAAAAATGGAAAAGTAATGTGAAAATTAGTAATAACACAAAAACAATACTTTACGTGAATCCCTAATTCAATTGAAACTTCCATTTCTAACAAGATCTGGACAGAACCAAACATTTCGAGATAATCTAAACAGATCGGAGACTAACTTAAGCATAAAATTTAGATGGAATTACCAGAAATCTCCTTGCCGGAGGGAGAAGGTGGCGTCAAGACGTAACAGAGGATAGACCTCCCAGCCATGGAAATGGCGGAGACGATCCCAGCGACGTAGAAAACCATGATGAGAGCTAGAACCCAAGGCATCAAGAGGAAACCGATGAAGAAAGTCACAGATCCACAGAGCATAAGAGCGACCGATATGCCGAGAAGCAACGACGCGAACCCCGACGGAGATATATGAGCCATGGAAGGCGACGAAGAAAATCGAGGCCGAATTCTCATCGGAGGATTAGGGGAATCGGGAAACTGATCGGGTAAAGAAATCGGCATCGGTGGAGAACGGAGAAGACTCAATACCAGAGCCGATAGATCGTAGAAAACCCTAGAATCTTCATCTCGCTGCCTTCTTCTCATCATCACAAAAAACAATCCCAAACAAACAAACCTCTCGGAAGATAAAGCTCGCGAAAACCGAGGTGGGAGGATAAAAATGATTATCCAAAAGCCGCCGATTGATTTGGAGAAGAAAGGTTTTAATGGCGAATTGGCGGAAACAGAGGAGAGGAGTAATGGAGACGATTACAGACAAAGACGCGGAAATGGAATTGAAACTTCTCTGCAAAGACTTTTGTTTATATAAAAATGAAAAATCATAGAAAAAGGCAGAATCGCGTTTTGGATAACGAGAAAAGCAACAACAAAAAGGAAGGAGCGTGTGGACTACGCGACGGTGCGGCGAGTAGGGGAGATAACAAAGCCAGAAGGATGGAGGTGATAAGACAATTTGGGGGATGTGTGGGTCCCTTATATGACGCGTACGGGCCTTATCTTCTTTCTACCACATTCTTATCTAACCTCTCTCTCTCTCTCTGTATAAATTTGTTCCAATCATACCAGAGAAGTCGTTTTCTACTGTGCTTTTTACTTATTTTATTTTGTTTTGGTTATTTCACTTCTAATGAGTTCTGGAGTTACTAATTTGTTTTGTTTTGGTTATTTTGTTTTGGATTAATAGATTCTACGAAGATGGTTACACTTTAATATCTGTCTTATCACACAAATAGTGAAAAACACATGTCTAAAAAGTTAGGATACAAAAACAAAACAAATTTATCGACGCGGACACACCAGACAAAAAAAATTAATGATTGACCTAATATTAAAGATCACAGGATTATGTACAAAACGCATTTCAATTTTTACTTTTAAATAATCTAAGAACAAACTCTTTTTTTTTCAAGCGAATTTACCAACAAACTCGCAACGAATATTATTTTTCTTTCAGTTATTCTACTGGTAATTTTTCTGATCAGTTTTGTTTTTCTGATTTTAGGTTAGCTGAGTTTGGTTTAATTAAAAACTATTAAAACACAAAATAATTTGAAATGATTGGACATTAAGAAATTTACTTTTTGATATTCTCTAGATTAATTAACAACTAAATGAAGAATTTAGTTAACTTGACATAATTAACCACACGTTTATATGGTTGAACTCAAAGTCTAAGGTAGTCTATAAATAAGTTATTGACATTAATCACACATTTAACGACGTCACAAGATTAAGAGAGAGAAATTGCATCTCATATACTCTTCGTCGGACTGTTCATTTCTCTTTAATACACATTTGTCCCTACTCCAAGATATCTATATAGAACTGATTTTGTGTATATTGTGTGTCATACGTATTATGATTTAATATTTGAAATTTGAATATGAGTACATACATAGATCAAAACCTAAAAAAATCGTTAAGCACAAGATTTCCGATATTTTAAAAATCGGAAATAAAATGGAAATTAGTTGGGTAGGATTTTTTTTTATTTTTTTATTAAATATTTTATATAAAAGATAACACATAAATATGAAAATTATATATTTCATGATTAGTTAAAAAAATTTCAAGTTTTGGAAGACAAAATCTTATAATTTGTAACAAAATTTCTTGTTTGGGTTTATAAATCTCCAAATCGATTTTTCTCGTTTAATTTTTATCAATTATAATTTTGTTTTAGCAAAAACAATATTAAATAAAATGGACATTCTTTAGTTGACTCTCATTTTCAAAATAATTTGTAATTGAGTCAAATAAATTCACAAACCAAATATTTGGGCCATCTCATTTTTAAAATTTCAAACGATTTTTCTTATTAGTCGGATTTTAGAAAATCGCCACATTCCCACCCCAAATCCAATTTTTTAGGCGATTAATCGGAGAATCGCCGACTTCTTAAACACAAATTTCAAAGGAAATGTATATGTCTTCAAGTAAATAGATAACTCATTATGATGATAATGGTTCATCAGCACCGTTTTCCCATTTTCTTTATCTGTTTTTTTTTTCTTAATAATTTGCGGAAAGAAATTAGTTATTTAAAACTAAAAGTCTAGACGAAAATCATAAAATTTGCGGTGAGTGATTTCCGGGGAAGGCAAAAATCTCGACCAAAAACATTAATTCGTCATCGTCACCACCTCCTCTACTTCTTTCTTATGGTCTATTAGAGAGAAACTGAGAGCAAGAACAATGGTCTTATCCATATGGGTTTCTTTAAACATATTATCTATTAAAAAAATATATTTAAGTTATAAAAAATTGGAAAAAAATTTAATAATTATGTTACAACAATGGAGAGTTCCATATGGATTTCTTTAAAATATTTTCTTTTTTCTTTTAATTTTTATAAAATGAAGAAAATAAATTATTCATAATAACTAGAGTACATTATTAAAAAGACAAATACAACATTTATTACATATAAAAAGAGAAAAACCCGCATACAAAAAAGACAAACATACATGTTTAAAACCATATGAAAACATGATTAAGAACCAAATTTGTTCCAAATATGCTCAACCAAATCAGCTTTCAATTGGTGATGCTTTTCTTGATCACGAATATCAGCTCGATTAGCCATAATATTGTGGACATTCGACGGCAAGTGTTCAGAACTCGGACATGTACTTGTGAAGACCCGCTTCCGTCTGCTCCTCCTTGTTGAAACTTCCGTTTCGTTATCTGAGTGCCAACGTTCTTTCATCTTCCACAATCATATTGTGTAATATGATACATGCCTTCATTATATTCCCTATCTTCTTGCTTATCCATTGTAAGAGACGGGTTTTTAACAATTGCAAATCGAGCTTGTAAGACTCCAAAAGCGCGCTCAACTTCTTTTCGGGCAAACGATTGATGGGCACAAAATAATTTTGCTTTCGGTTTTGCTGGCTGAGGAATTGGTTTGACTAAAGTCGACCATTCCGGATATATACCATCTGTGAGATAGTAAGCCATCTTGTATCGGTGTCCATTAACAGAGAACGACACCTTAGGAGCTCGACCTTCTAATATATCATCAAACACGGGTGAGCGGTGGAGAACATTAATGTCGTTTAAAGTACCTGGAGGTCCGAAAAATGCGTGCCAAATCCACAGATCATACGACGCCACGACCTCTAAAACGATTGCCGGTTTTCCATGGCCCTGTGCATATTGTCCTTTCCACGCCGTGGGACAACTTTTCCACTCTCAATGCATACAGTCAATGCTTCCTTTTGAGCCGGGAAATCCACACGTCTCTCTGCCCTTGAGTAATCGTTTGAGATCTGCTGGTGTAGGGCCTTCCGAGGTAGTCCTCTGATGCGGAGTCAGGTTTTACCAAACTCCTAGACCTCTGCAAGTGCACAGATCGCGGAAGTATGGGTATCGAACACAAGGACTGGCTATTGAGTACACTTTGAAACTATGGATTTTGGATCAAGCTAAAACAAAAGTATGATTGAGGTTGTAATGGTGAACCGAACTAGCAAGTATAACGAGGTTGTAAACAATAAAGGAAAAGCGCTAGGTCATAGGGGCTATCGCAGAGAAGCAAGCAATGATCAATGAAACAATGATAGATTAATTGATTAGGGATATTGGGATATTAAGAACCATCTAGAACACAGATCACGAATATAAAACCATTCCACTTTCGAGGCTCCGGCTCCTTTGCTAATCTACCTAGTCGCTAAACTTTTGGTATGTCCCTAGGTGATTAGATCAAGCATTAGAATGAATAGGTTCTGATACAGTTCACTAGATATAGATAGATCAACTTTCGCAGTCTAAGAAACCTAGCTTGTCAAAGAATATGTCCGGCGAATGATACAGCACTGTCGAGGCTCAAATCAACCTAAGATCGGATTACTAGATGCGCGGTAAAGCAATCAGCATTAGTTAAGTGCACAAGACGAGACAAAGACTCTAATATAATCCCTAGCTAATCATTGAAATCAAAGATCATGCAAGCAACTCATTGAATAGTAACCCTAGCAACCTAACTAGTGGATTACTCAGACATGATCAAAGCAAACACACATAGAGATGAAGAAAACATGATTGCAATAAAACTTAGAGTAGGAAATCGAAATACAGGGCGGCTCTCTTTCTCAAGAGGCTAAAAATCCATATATATAGTGCTAGGTCTTTCTAGAGGCGGCTTAGGGTTAAGCCGGGCTTGAAAACATAAGTTTGGGCTTCAAAAAGGGCTTCGGGTCGACCGCGGCGTTGGGACGGTCGTGCGGGACGATCGGCCGGACATCGGGTCGTGGCGAGTCGGAACGGTCGGGGTCGGACGGATTCGCGGTCGGCCGGCGTGGTCGAGGGATGAGATTTGGCCGATGAGAATTCTCGGCCGGACGTGGGACGTTCTTTCCCGGCTCGGACGGATGCATCGGCCGTGGTACGCGGAACGGTTGCGCGGCCGCGAGGCTTGTTTCCCGGCTCGCGCGCTTTGGTCGTGCGCGGTGTGGCGTGAGCGTTGGCTTGGCCGACCGCGGGACAATGTTTCCCGGGTCGTGTGCGTGATCGGCCGGTCGGTTTGGAACTTTGGCCGAGACTTCAGTCGGACGGATGTGATTTGGCCGAGCGCGGAACATGTTTCTCGGCCAGCCGGACTGCGCGGTTTGGGCGCTGTTCTCGATAGAGCCGTCTGGACAGTCTTCACTCTTTTGGTTATAACTCCTTTTCTACTCATCCAAATGAGGCCATTCCAGTTGCGTTGGAAAGTTAACTCAATCAGAGCACGCAGGGAACTGGTCTTGATGAAATCCATTGAGTAGATCTTTTTCTGGGCCCTCTTAAAGTTGGTGCTTGTGCATGGAGCTGCTTGAAGTGCAAATCCTATGGTTTTGCTCCAAAATGCATCATTTCACCTGTTTAGACTCTAGACACTATAAACACAGTAAAACTACCTTTTTAGATAGAAAACCTGCCAAAAACCATTAGAAAACAATGCTAAAACAGTATAAAAAGTGGGTAAATTAGAGGTATATCATCCTCCTCGTAAAAAGAGATGATTGCATTGACAAATTTGTGCATGTGAGCGCAATGCTCGCTCCTAGTTGGAGGTATCCATCAACTGCATCAGCTGTATTGCCATATGTCAGGATATGAATGGCAGCCGTACACTTTTGTAAACCGGTCAGACGCAACTTCCCGGTAGTATCCACTATCTGCTGAAAGAAGTGTAACTCAGATAGCTTGCTAACTATGCGCATGAACAATGGTCGGTTCATCCGGAAGCGACGTCGGAATATGGCTTCGGGTTAGATAGCATTCTCACTGAAATAATCATTGATCAAGCGGATTTTCTCTTCTTCATGTCTTCGATCTATGACCGCTCGTTTCTTTCTTCTCTACTCTGGCTCAAGAACTTCATTTATATCATCTAAACACTTTTCCATACAGCTTTCAAACTCATCATCGATTGTTTGTTCAAACTCATCATTGAATGAAAAAGGATGGTGGGAAGAAGATGATATCTTCGTTTTTCTTTGTAATTTTGAAAAGATCTTTTGGGTTTTAATGAATGATAAGTTTGATTTGTAATGAGGGAGAAGAGTTTGAAAAGAGGTGCAATGGAGAGTTTGAGGAGATGATAGTTTCTGATGAGAGAGTTGCAAAGAGATAGAAGAGTTTGAGTTCCGATGGTGATTAACTAATTATAAGTTGAACCCAAGGTTACAGTTTTATGCAATGAAAAAGATGCGAAAGATTGATTAAATACAAAATGAATACGACAATGCATCATGACTCTACTAGTACACACATGTTTTCTTCTGGCCGAAACAAGTAAGATCCAAAGTTTCACTAAAAGCAAATATAAAGTTTCACATAATACCAAAAACATAGGTCGGCAACAACAAGTAAAGCAGGTCGGCACAAGGAGACAATCTCTTGCTCATCCGTTTTAATCATAATACACGCAAACACCCTCAATTAGTTATCATCAACACACATAGACAAAACCAGATAATTAAAAATACATAAAAGTAAACATGGACATCAACTAAGTACAATGATCCCTTCACCACTTCCCATTTTTCTCCCATCTTTGCAGAGGTTTCTTTCAGACGCTCCACACATTCCGCCATTTCTCTATCCGCCTCATGGGAAGCTGCACCACAGTCCAACGAATCTTGCTCGTCTTTTGCTAATTCGTTCTCTGCCTTGACCATATCTTTCCTCAGCTGGATTGTTTGACGATGAAGAAGCGTAAATCGATCGTAAGATCCCATGAATGCATCCAAGGCATGTTTGTGTTTCAATTTGAGCATGTACAGCCGGCGCTTCTCCGAGTTGTACACCTCAATTAGGTCATGCAGGAACCATAAACAGGAAGCTGATCGTTAAGTAAATACTTTAAGGCAAGCCACATAAGATTACGAGAACTGAAAGGAAGCATTATAAGATTTCGACGAAACATTATAAGTTTTCAAGGAAACATTATAAGATTGTAACACAAACATCAAGGAACCATTAAAAGATTTCAAGGAAAAGTTTAACCTAAAATCAAGAGGACATTATAAGAAAACCGAGAACAAAATAACACAAGTTTGAAGACATTTAGCCAAGTCATCAAACAATTTAAAAACAGGGACATGTCACCTAAAAGAAACCTACATTATCTGACTAATTAGCTATCACTATCTCGGATTAGCTAGGAGTTTTTTATCCGCTAATTTATCCTTGTTAGCAGATGCTTTCTCCTTTAAAGCGAACTCTTTCTCCCTTAAAGCAGCCACGGATTGGAGGTTCTTCATAGCAGCCTCCCTGTCTTTGCTGGTTCTCTTCACGTTCTTAGTTCCTTTCGACTTTGCTAACTCTGCTGCCTTCACACCGATTGGTCTCTCTTCCACTTGTTCCTCCATGGGACCGACCTCTACGGAATCATCCAGCTGTGCTCTTTTGCTATGCGTTTTTCCTTTATCTCTAGTAAGAGAACATCACTTCTGATTTTTTCTAAGCATCCTCCACACAGGCTCTAATATGAAATTGGTCCTGCGATCCTGGTAGTAGAATTTGTATGCCATCTAGAAGACATCATCCTCTGACTGGCCGCTTGTAGCTTGGCGGCTCGTCTGCTCGAAGCATCCGCAAAACTTCTGCACTCCTTCATTTATTTTAGTCCATCTCTGCTTGCAAGTATTCCACTTGCGTAGAGGAAAGTCCTTCACCGCAGTACAGCCAAAGTAATAGTTTGTTACTCATTTCCAGAACGTACCAGCTCTCTGTTCATTGGCGACGATGCAATCTTTGTTGGTATGCGGTTGTCCATCTTCTTCTCGCTTCCTGTGTAGACAATGGTGAGCTCTCAACTACACCATCAGCGTCATCTGCTGTGGAGCTAGTTTGGGTACTAAACAAAGGTGTTTAGGTACTAAACTGAGGTGTTTGGGTACTAAATAAAGGGGTTTTGGTCCCAAAGAGAAGTGTTTGGGTACTAAATAAAGGGGTTTCGGTCCCAAACATAGGTGTTTATCTACTGAACAGAGGTGTTTGACTCATGAGGTCTGTGAAGGATCTACTGTAACTAGAGGGACTATTGGAACCCATTTCTTAAACAGAGAAGGAGAAACAAGACACACAATGTTTTTTAGTTGAATTAAAGTTTGTTAACCGAGAGGTTTTTTTTAGGGTTTAGCGAGATGAGTGAAGAAGAAGCTCACAAAGTTGTGTCTTTATAGGAAAATTGGTGTTAGTTAAACATGAAACCGTTTTATGAAAGTTTTTTAGCTCATTGAAATTTACTCTACTCTTTAGTGGCTGAGATTGCATTTAACTCAACATAAAGCAACTATCAAGCATTTTCCTAATCGCTCACAAGCAAAATCAGAGCAATGAACCAATTAAAATCAAACAACAACCGCAAGCATTTACAATTGTCTACCTAAACCGCAAACAATAATTACAGCTGCAACCTAATCTATCACAAAAAGGTGGAAACCTAACCTGTACCTAGGAGAGCTGATTTGAGTTGCCATCAACTCCACTAGCTGTCTTCTTCGGTGCCATCTCGAGACATGAGGAAAAAGAAGAAAGAAAACATGTTAGTTAAAAGAAAAGAGCATTCATAGCATCAGATGTATGCTTTATTGTTCGGCTTCGATTTTTAAGAATAATAAAGAACCATGGACACTAGTTTTAAGCAAAACTTGAACAAATGATTTCAATTCCTTATCCTTCTTCAATATTATTCTCAAGGTTTACTAAGTCTATACTTTACATAATCTGGACAAATAATAGTGCAACTCACAATCCATCTATACACGAGCAATCAACAGTTACGAATCAATTTTACACACAAAGCATTGAACCACACATGATACAACAATTATGAATCAATATCATATGCAAAGCATTTCCAGGATATTACAATCACGTTTCAGACAAAACATATACTAAAACAGTTTCACCCAATTCGATGATTCACCCCAAATTAAAGCAGTCAACCACACATGACAAATCAATTAATCATTTTCAGCAAAATCAATTTCCTAAATAACGAATCCGATTTATGGTTTTAGGAATAGAGTTTTCACTTGCAGTCTAAGATTAAATCTACTCAGCCAGAAAAATTCATCTTATAATCATTTAACTAGAGGCCCATACCTGAGAAACTCGCTGAAATTCTTTAAAATCGCCGGAAATCGAAGACGCAAGATTTGCGACTTTCACGAGGAAGCAGAAACGACAACTGCAGAACGACGAAGAAGGAGAAGAAGAACAGGACAAAGGAAAGAAGAACTGGACGAAGGAGAAGAAGAACATAATATAAACAGAAAGGGGTAGAGATTTCCGTCACCGAGATTCAGATCGAGGAGCAGCGGAGAAAGCGAGGAGTGAAAATGAATTGAAAAAATAAAAAATTACACAACACCGACGAAAATATTTTCGCCGCTTGCTGAGCGTCTAACGCGGGCAGGAAGAAACGTTTCTTGGGCTTCTTCCACGAGAGACGTCTCTTGGGTCTGGGCTTGCCACATCCGAAATTAAATCCAATTGTTTTTTTTTTCTTTTGGGCTAAAGAAAGGGTGAGAGTATGTCCATTGTTCTTACTCTGAATACCTATGAACAAAAGTCTTGACGAACATCGTAAAAAAAAACTTTGAAAATTTGACCGGATTTTATCACTGATTTATATAGAAGATTAATTAGTTCTTATGATAAATTTGCAGTGCCCTTTATTTTTGGCTACAAATGATAGTGTATAAGAGGAATATGTTGAATAAAAGGAATAGTGATTAGTAGAATATAATTTAGAGGAATTAGATGAATGAGAAGAATAACAACAGAACAAAAACGGCTGTCAGTACCTTAAGTTTCAAAGTGTGTGGATCGGCATCCACACTATACAAAATCCAATTTCTAGTATCCAAACATTATTCATCATTTTAGCATTGTTTCATACCTTATACATATCATTCATAGTCCTTTTTGTTCATATTGCACACTTAGTGAGTTCTAGCTTAGGTCTTGCATACATGGAGCATTTGGAGTTGTAAACAGGTGATTTTAGATGATTTGGGATGCATCTGGATGATGAGGGAGTCCGATGGAGCGAGCCAAGGCCGAAAATGATGGAATTGAGAAGAGAAAGGACTTCCCCTGTTTTTTTAGAGAGCGACAATCATGATGTCAATCAGATTTCTCTTCCAGGACAACATAATTGCTTTCTGGGCCGCGCGTTGACCAAGTCTGACCACGTTGACCGCGCCTTGACCAAGCGTAAACCCACATTTTTTGGAGTCTGAGCCAATGTGAAGATACCAAAGAAATCAAATTAAATGAGTTGACCAAAGAATTAATGTCTTCAACTATAAATACATTAAAGACATAATTTATTAGGCATCTTGTAATTTCTTTCTCTTAGATAGAAACTCTTTCCCTTTTGTTCTTGATCAAAATTTTGTTAGATCTTTTAAGAGTTTAATCTATTTGAGAGTGTTTGCTTGATTATTATTTCTTTCTTAACCTTCCTAATCATGATTATCAACTCCCTTTTCTTTTGACTTGTTGATTTAATCATGATTAGGGAGTAATTCTCTTAGGGTTTAAGGATGAGTTAGATTTAGAGAGATTTGATGGTTAATCATTAATGCTTAGGACTAGAATTGCTCATTCCTTTCTTTATTTAGTGATCTTAATGCTAGATTAGCTTTGAGGAAAGTGATTTAGATCAAATGACATTTCTCACTCATAAGGTGTTTGAATGAAATGTCCCAACCAACTAAATCAAGATATTTTCATGCTTAACCTAGGAGATTAGTTGTTTAACATGTTTATTGGCTTGATAGAGCTTGTTTATAATGCTTGCTGATTTCAAATTTCACTAATGTAAGATTTGTGAAGTTTTGTCTCACATAATCAAGGGAACACCAATCAACTTGTGATTGTGTCCACAAATGTCATGAACAAGAGTTCTTGTAAACAATAAAACAAGAACACTATAGTGAGCTTTAAATCCAAATTAGCTACACAACACTTAGAGAGTTTGTGAGCTGAGAAAGAGAGGATTAGCTTCACTTAAGATAGTGTCTAGTATAAACAAGAAGAGTTTAGGTAAGATTAGATGGAAAGATAGACAAGAACTAGTCTCATTAATGAGACACAAACCATGTAACACTAACTCCCTACATTGCTAATATTAGAATTAAGCAAGTAAAGTAGATTAGAGCTAAATCGTAATTTGATTTTAAGAACTTGTTTCTCTTTTATTGATATGATTCTTGTGTGTTCTTTACAAGATACAAGTGCCTCTATTTATAGGCAAACATAGATGATTCAAGAGAGCATCAAGCTCTAACGGCTATACAATTTGAATTCGCCCAACATCTCTCTTATGGGTTCGCCTCTTGCCTCAGCTTCTTGTGAGTCTGTGACTCTATCACACGCGCCTCTATAACGATCACATGAACCCGTGACACTTGAGCGCTTTTTTGTGCAAACAACATTCCCTTGCTTCACAAGCTTCTGTTGCTTGCCACACACACTTCATGACTTCTTGACCTTGATAGCTTTATCTCCACATGTTTGATTATCTTCTTGATGTCTTGACCATGTGAGATAAGCTTCTTGATGTCTTGATCATGTGAGATGATCTTTACTTTGGCTCAGAGATGCTTGGTCTTCTGTACATGTTTGACCTTTTCATCTCCTGACTCTAATAATTCGTTATTGAAATTGGTAATTAGTAAAGTGATTAGTGCCATGAGAATGGATTAGTCTTGTTTAATGTATTCTTTGCCTAAGGATTAGCATTCTTGAGCATCATAGATTAGCTAATGAGTCTCTCTAGTTCAATGACCCCATCCTAAACCCATTTGCTTAGCTTGTTCTATTTCTTCCATTTTCGTTTTTGTATATGTCTCTTGAGTTTGACTTCTTGTTTTAAGTTATTATTTCAAGATTAATATTTGATTTTCATTTAGGTTGATCGATAAAAACCCTTCTTTGATTTGGCTTAGCTTAATAAGTTTCTTGCATTCCTAGTGTTTTAATCTTAACCCTTTTGGATTGATACCTCAAGTATTACATTGACAAGTGTAATAGGCTTGAGTAAGGGGAAATTTCAAACTACACCTTTTTAGGTGCCAATTTTCAAAAATACACCTCTATGGTGTCTATTTTATACACTTTATCCTCCTCCCATTGAAGCCCACGCCTATGTGATCAAGCCAAGCTTGATATACTCATATTTTACATGTTTTAAGCATTCATTATTCATCATTTTAGCATTGTTTCATACCTTATACATATCATTCATAGTCTTTTTTGTTCATATTGCACACTTAGTGAGTTCTAGCTTAGGTCTTGCATACATGGAGCATTTGGAGTTGTAAACATGTGCTTTTAGATGATTTGGGATGCATCTAGATGATGAGGGAGTCTGATGGAGCGAACCAAGGCCGAAAAGGATGGAATTGAGAAGAGAAAGGATTTCCCCTGTTTTTCCAGAGAGCGACAAGCAGGATGTCAATCAGATTTCTCTTCCAGGACAACATGATTGCTTTCTGGGCCGTGCTTAACCAAGTCTGACCGCGTTGACCACGCCTTGACCAAGCCTAAAACCGCATTTTCTGGAGTCTGAGCCAATAGGAAAATACCAAATACAGTAGAAACTCTATATAAATTAATAATGTTGGGACCATGATATCCTACAATATATTAAAGACCATGTATTTTTGCTGATGTGGCAAGCTCTCCTTTTTTGGACTCATTTTTTATTTATTTAAATCCTACAATATATTAAAACAGAAAAACAGGCGGATCTTCTTT